CAATTAAAAATCCCAGCCATATCATCAAGTTCCTGTCCAGTTCAATAATATGCTTCACAGAAGTCACGGGTTAATCAGGTAATCTCTAACTTCTTTCTTGAGAACTTATCCAAAAGGTTTGCCAAAACAAATCCTACAAAGACCTGGAAGCATTCAAGCATGTAGATTGCAGAGTATTATCGGCCATGTATTGCCATGTCAGCAATCATCGCCATAACAGAGGAATTGTTAGCAACATGCCTAATGTAGCAACCAGAGGAGTCGTCCATACTATTGAAAGTGCCCTGTCACAATATTCATTAGAGTTAATTAAATCTCCAGGTATCAATCACTATTCAACTTAAGTCCTCAGAGGCTGTTTGTGTTCAACACATTAAAAGTAATCTGAAATTATGTTGGAGATAAAGCCATTTGCAATCACAATCTTCCCAGTAGACCAAGAACTCAAAAATTCAAATGGAGGCTTAATTCCCACAGCATTCATTAGCTATGCTGCATCGAAGAGTTTTAAGTCAAAAATTTTTAGTATCTAGAATAAAATTTGAATCCTCTCTTGTGACAAAAGAGAGCATTCCAGGTTTGAATTGCTAAACTGCAGAATAATTTTTCAATCGATAGTTGAGTCTAGAGCCAAATCTACTAACCTAGCCACCAAAAACCAACAAGATAGTAGAGACCAATGTAGCTGAAAAGCTTTTGCATGTCAACCTTATCTCCTTTGGATCCAGCATATTTCTTAAGAAGCACTGCAATTAGATGACTCTTAGATTTACTATAATATGCAGAGTCACGAGTCAATTTAACTTTAGAATAGACAGCTAGCTAGATAGATAGCCACACCCGTGAATAAGCCATAAAATATTGCTGAAAGCAGACCAAGAGTATCCCTAGTAATAGCGTGATTTCTAGTCCTAACCAAGAAGAGCAGGTCCCAGTTTAAGAATTTGAAAGAATAATTACAACAGCAATATAATACACAATAATAAGTACAGATAGAATCGCAAACATGGAAAGTGATCATCATGTACTCAATCTAATATTGCCAAGTCAGATGAAGCATTAAGGAAGTTTAGCAACATTAAACTTACTGCTTGTCATCTGCTACTCAAGTTTTCCCTACTATTGTCATGGCAACACCAGCCATGCTGATCAGTACAGAGATAACCTTAGTGATATTTATCGAGTCCTGATCAATAAGAACTCTAAAGAAAAGGATGAAGAGACCTGATATGGAACTCAGAATTATTGTACTCACAATACTTATATTTGCAAGTGCCAGGTTTGACATATACTACATGTCCAATCAATTGCAACACACGTGATAAGACACAGAACATGTTTAACATCTTGAGAGAGCAGGTTGTAATTCTAGTAGGCATGTCTCAATTTATACCTATTGTTTAGTGGCTCATGATTATCAACCATCTTAGTTTTTAATGATTTCTATGTGATGATAAATCAATTCTGCAATAAACAACCCGTTTAAACTTTCATCTTTGGTGGTGTTAATACGATTTAGGCTAATGTTTGATAATCTTATAATGCAAGTATTGCTATTTGTACCTGTAGCCAGAAACATTTTGAAAGGTAACAGAGACCCAAATCTCTAAATTAAAGAGTAAGAGATTGACAGTAATCTTGTACCTTTGATGCAAACTATATTTGGCAGAGATATAAGCCATACTTGGCAATTTCCCAGGAACAATATTCACAATTTTCTAGGAGCAAGCGAGGTTCATCTTTCTTGATCAAAGGCCTTTCCTCTTCTCTTTCACTAATTTCCTTGTCAACAACTAAACTATGTTTTAGATATGTTTCAGCCGTTTAGTAAGTCTCATCTATTCCAAGAGTGGCACTAAATCCAGAGGAAATAGTGACTGAAGAGTCATCCTTGTGAAGATTTCTATATGGAATTTTCAATAATTTGTAGATCTTCTCTCTGAGGACTGAAATGGGTAAATGAATCGCCATCAAAGATATCCAAATGCAACACAGTGCAAATGGCTGTTTATACTCTCTAAAAATTCTATGCAGAAATAGGGCACATCTTCAGCATAGCAATTCTTAGCATATGTAATTAATTATGAAGTAATAACAAATTATAAGGAAAACAATTAGAAACACAAACACAAGTCTGAACAGTTCCCCGTATAGCATTGAACTACCTGCCCTGCCCATATATTATTTTCTTAACTGACATCTTTGCAGTTTCATCACACCCAATTATTAAGTTCTGATCTTGTTCTCACAGAAAGTAACATATTAAAAAGAAGTTAAATTGATCTAAATATCATATGAAAAGCGTCATTAATAAGAACAAGAAGAAAATGGATAAACAAGAAATTATGAATGCCCAAACCTGAGTTATTTTTGCAAAAGCAACCTGTATTAACACAAATGCTCCGATCAACCCTAACCCGGCCAAGTACCTTAAACCCATCAGAGTAATCTATTCTCTTATGATTGGTGTGTGATTAAGCAGAAATGAGCTCTATTTTTGCTATAAAATTAGCATGATCTTTCTGTGACAAGCTATAAACTAAATGTAAGGCATACTGGGGATTTCAAACTTTTAGTTCAACTTTTCTTTTGTTGTCTGTGTCAGTTGCATGAAAGGGGCAACAATGTCTTAGCGCAAGAGGTGACGTTTGTTGTGACTCTTGTAGTTGTGTGGGGCGTTATATCGTCATTAAGTGTGGAGACCTGTGACACCTGCCCAATTAATTATAAATTGGTGTGGCAACCATCAGCCTCTTGCCTCATGGATTTCATGAATCTAGCCATGTTTATCTTAATATCACAAAAACAAAATGAAATTTTCAGGTTACACCGAATACTTTAACGAGATGCTATACTTGAGCTTTGGATATTGCTTATTCCTATCCCAAGGTTGCTTGCTTCCACTGATGTTATTCTGCTTTCCTACTTAATAATATTAAAAATGAATGATTTTAATTGATTTTAATTGATTTATTGATTAATATTTAACCAGCCATTAAAACCCCTCTTAAATTCATAAAATACTTCCTAGTATTTTGGAACGAGCACAAACACAAAAGGATAGTTCATTTTAAAAGACTAACCTATTGAGTGGGAGAGTTCTTCACATTTATAAACCCCACACCACTTGTGAGGCTTACTGATGTGAGACTCATGACAATGTTATCCCGTCGAGAGCTGACGTCCCTAGTAATTCTACTCCACGGCACTTTACTCGGCCTCCTGCCAGTCAAAACCCTCTGTGGGTAATCTTTTTCGTGATATCAACTTCTCAATAAGAGTACTAATGTAAAGAGCATGAACCTAAAAGGAGAGTTCCTTATACTTATAAACCCGATGGCTCCTGCTCCTACATTGAGAGGCTACATTGGTAGAATGTGGTTTATAATTTAATTGGGCACCTTCCCCTTACAAAGGGCTTTTTGGGGAGTGAGATTTACCTAGAGAGCTTATTATCGGATATTAGTGCTCTCATTAAGAGACACTATTCATGAAAAGGGCCTCCAACAGAGGGGTTGATTGTTCGAAGGCTAAGTGAAGTGTCATGAAGTGTGAGCTATCATGAATGCCAGTTCTTAAAGGGTGGGCTATGTCATGAGTCTCACATCGAGAGGTCATGTTATGGAGTGTGGTTTATAAGTTAGTTAGGCACCATTTCCCTATGAGAGGGCACCAATGTAACAAACACAAGTTCAAAAGAAAAGCATATGCAAAAGACTAGCCTGTTAGGTGAAAGAACCTATCGTATTTATGAACCCCACCTAATTTATGAGGCTGTTTGATGTGAAACTCATGACATATTCTTAGTCTCTTTCTCACAATAACCTAACAATTATTATAGTGGAGACCAACCAACCATTAGTAAAAAGACAGGGCTTATTATGAACTCAATCCGGGCAACCAGCTGTTAATAAGAAAACAAGGCTTACGATGAACTCAACTTGGGTTGGTCAGACAAATGAACCATTAAATTAGTCTCCTAATCAATCAGGTTAAAAGTTTTGGATGAGTAGATTACGGGTGTGTATTGCCTGACATTCAAAATATAACATCTCTCTTCAATTAATCTTCATTCAACATATAAACACCTGGTATATGTAAAAAAATAATCTTTTCATTTTATCAATTATATTTATTAACTTAGATATTTATATAAATGCATATTATGCTTATAATGAAGTATGTTGGTAACAAAAATTAGGGATAAAAGGGAAAAATAATATATATTTTTATAAAAATGAAGATTTTATTAATATATGATTTTTTAAAAAAATATTTATATTTTAAATCAAAAAATTGTTTGTATTTCTTTTATCATTGAGCCGAAAATGATATCATTTTGAGTTAAAAATAAAAGATATCAATATGTTAAATATGCACTTTAGTACTTTTATTTTGTTGGACTATATGTCATTTATACACAAATGTTTTATTTATTTATAAATTAGTACCATTTTATTTAAATATTACTCTTTTTAAAATTATATACAAATATTTTTATATGTTTTAATTAAACTATATTATTTATTTTATTTAAATTTTGAACCACTTAACTCATTCAATCACGGTTCCCTTTAATCACTCGTCCGGATTTTAATATCATGGATGACATGACTTTTTATTTTTTGGCGGTGCCGTACGCCCGCATCTGACAAAACAGTTCGTTGTTATAAAATTAAGAATGTTTTTTTTAAAAAAAAGAGCCAACATGTCTTTATACCAAAAAAAATATGACCGAAAAAAAAGCCAACATAGTTTTTTTTTTTTTTTAAAAAAAAGATACTTCTTTTCCCCACTCCGATCGTTTCGCTGTTGAGGAAAACAAGTACATTTGTGCTTGCACCAAAATATGACTCATCAACACCGCAAATACGTTGGTCAAAACACATTCAGATTGCAGAAAACAACCAGTGCTATTGCATATTTTCACTCAGAAGGCCTCGCCACCTAAATAATGAAATGGAAATGGAAATTGCTGAAGAACCTCAATCTTGAGCTGAGAGATACAAATCTACGAAAATTGCCCGACTAAATGAGCCAAGCTGGACAAAGACACTATGGTGATGTGGAATAAGTACTGGGCCTATTGGGCTTGTTTATGGATACCACTTAGGCAGTTAGGCCTCACATGGTTCGTTTACTCCATGCCTTTATCAGTATTTCGTTATCTCTGTGCCAAGATATGTGCCAAGTGGTCTAGAGCATCATGCTGTTTACACCAGGACACGGATTACACAGAGATGATGGCTGTATATTTTATTTTGCCTCTCTCTATTTCCATGGGTCTACGTAAATCCAGATCAATAATATGAATATCCTTTGTGTATTTTTTTTAACTTCTGGCCAGGAACTTCCTTGTCCAACAAACTCAAGAAGGTCGTGAACAAACTTGAATACAGCACCTGGTCATGCTAACCTCAATGCAGTTTATGACATCGCCTTTAGCTCGCCAGCTCTTAGACCAGACCACTCTGCAACAATTCTTGCCATCTCCTTGGGCGATTTAAAGAACTTCCAGCATCCATCTTGCATGAAGAGATACAGCTCCAGGAACGGAAGATATTTACGAGTTACTGCAATATTGAATGTATGAATTCTAAAGCTGCAAAGCATGCACTTGGGTCCAACTGATGTCACAACACCACCAGAGGATTTAAAAATCTGTTCACCTTATTTTCATGCTGCCCTCTGGGTATTTGGAAGAAAACATCTCATTCATTTAATCTCTTGGCTATTTTAGAGCCAATGCTAATTTCGAACTGATAGCCACAGTAAATATGGCTCAAGAGTTTATCTTCCAAAACTGCAAATGCGACCAACCTTAAGGAGCGATCTGACGTCACGAAGAGATTTTTTTTTTTTAAATAAACAGAGATTCCATTGAGATTGAATAATGAGAACTGAGAGGTTTACGTACAAACAGCTTTTGGGAAAAAATAGAAAAGCTTTCTAAATGAAGCAGAGTTCTACGAAATAACGGTGGCATCTAGAATCCTCATTAGAGCAGTTCAATTGCTTTCAACAATAGCTGAGAAGAGCAGCTTGTTGACATCTCCAGAGTCGGAATCATGTGTTTCGTCCCCTGCAACACACAGTCATGGTAATTAATCCCAGCCCAAAAAAAAGAAGGGAAAAACGGGGCCCAAGCCTGTCTTAACTTAACTTCTCTTGTTTTTTCCCCTTTGCAACATCCCATTCCTTCTAGTAGTCACTCAGACTTTGGAAGAGATGGAAACATGATGTGCCCATTTTTGAGGGGAAAGAAAAAATGACCTTTTCTAAAATGGCTAACCCGCTGATCAATCTAATTTTGATTAGTTTCACCAATTTTTAATTAGTTTTTTTAGGCGCTAATTCGCTAGTTTCTTTAGTTCAACTCGCTGATCTTGTCCAATTTTCTACACAATGCTTCTAATCATTCTTACACTCAAAAATCTATCTCCTTATGATATCAAATTTGATCCACTCAAATCTCCCAAACAACAGGTGCTTAAAGCACGAGTGAATTGGCATTTGGGGAAAAGACAACATTGAACTCTTTGAAGGTTTACATTGAAATAAAATAAACTTCTGGAACTAGAATAAAACTTGAATAAAATTTCAGGAACTAAATGTGAATGCTCGCCTCTTATTAGAAGAAATCAGAATAGATTTCATTACATCCTCATCATCCAATCGCCCTCCCCTTCTAGAGCTTTCTGCGCTTTTTTTTACCATAGAAACACTGAATCCTATAAGGCAAGGTCTAACAATTTTCACGGAGGCTCAAGAATAGCTATCTCATACAAATCTTGACCCTGAAGGCTGAAAGTCCACATGAATAGGGAAACTCAAAAATTACTTCACTGCAAGCCCACCAGCCCAACACTCCTCCCTTTCCCTCCCTCAGCGGATCCCAATCCCAACGCTCTTCCCATCTCTTTACCATCCGAAGTCCCTAGGCACTTTGGACACAAGTGTCCCTAATTAATCCATTAGTTTCAAGAGGAATACAAATAAATGAAGCAGAAAGGTAAAAAAAACAAGATAAAGGATAAACAAGTCGAGAACTATATTCATAAATAACCACCTCACTAAACATGTGAAATTTACGCAGAGCAGAATTCCTGACATCTGTATATTTGTCTTGCATAAAACTGTCATTTAATTTGAACCTTTATTCTGAAACTAGTAAATTTGCTTCCAATACTCGTGAATAATGACACCCAAATCAATATTTAATGACAATCAAATTCATTGAGTGAGAGAGAAAAATTTACCTGTTCTTGATCTTACTTGTGCTGTCCATTCTTCAATAATCTGCATGGTCAGTTAAAATTGCGGCAGCAAAAATTAGTTATCAAGGGTCGCCAAACACCCAAAAAAAAAAAAAAAATCAAAACAAAACTGTCATGCAGGCTGAGCAACTGGAAAGCCGCCCAAGGAATCTTTGCTTGGATGAATGCTAAGCAAATGCCGCATATTTTAATCTTGGTTGCTTGCTGGCAAATGGTGCAAAAAGTATGAACACCATTTGGAAAATAGGCAACCCTTTAAGATGCCAAAAGATAAACGTATAAATTATCATCACATTCATTCTCCAGTTTAGCACACTCCAAAATGGAAGATGATACATTACACTTTTATTCTCCTGTGCAAAAACGTCAGCACAAATATATGAAAGACAGTTCAATAAAGCCATTCATGAGCTATGATGCTCTCAATTTAAAGGATGTGAAATTTATTCTCCTTTGCAATCAAAAGCACGCACAAATATTTCATAGACTCCTCAATTTACACTTCACTCAGGTGAATGTCTTTCTAGCACTTCTTGCCTTAGGCATTTTACCGGTCAAACGGGTTGAGAGTGCCTTCACCTTTGACTACATTAATGGGCATTGGGAAGCATAGTGGACCTTGAAATAGTAATTGAATGAAAGAACATATCCAACTGTAGAAATTGTATAACTTCATTATCCGATGCCAATCTTGAACTTTTGAGCAACTCAACACCAAACGAATGCATGGAAAATATGAAGAGTAAAAGATATTTACAATAGGAAGGAGCTACTCTTCTTTCACTTTATTTTTAAGACAGTAACACGCAATTACCTGCTTGAAGTTAGTGAATGCGGAATCATCTTCATCAGTTAGAGAGGTACTCATGGATGCATGCATGCGCTGCACCAAATCTCTGTTCTCAACTAGAGTTCTCTGAGCCTTATCGATCAAATCCTGCATATAAGAGGCAACAGCTTCAAAATACGAGCAAGGAACCATTATGTATACATCGATTTGGGTCTGCTGATGAAATGGGAAAACATACTAGTAAGTTTGTCTAACGCGCTTCGGAAATATCTTTTCCTTGGCGCACAGTTTGAAAAGGCATAAATTGTATACCTGTTTAGCTGCCAATAGCTCGTGGCACTGCTCTTTTAAAGTTGATACATCTTCTTGTATCTTTTTGATCCTATAAACCAGCTTCATAGGGTTTGCCTGCCAGCACAGCACACCACCCAATGAAATGGGAAGTGAATCCGAACCGATTAAGCCGCAAAACCAATATACAGGCTCGAGATGCTAGACACTTACGGAATTCCGATAAATTAAATGGCGACGATTGAGGTAAAACTAAAATCCGGGAAAAGATTGAAGAGTGGAATTTCTTACGTTGTCGGGGTAAACTTGTTGAAATTCCTTCTCGAGCCTGAGATGGACAAGAGCGAGATCATGATTCGCTTTTGTGAATAAGCTCAGAAGTCCGTCGGTTGCTTGATGGCGGTGCTGGTAATTATGCCCCATTTTCTCTCCCCTCTTCCTTTCCTCTTCCAATTTTCAATGCTCCGAGACTCAAACCAAGCACCCCATGCCATGAAAAAGGAGCGAAATGCCAATTCAAAACTAAAAAATATATTTATTTATTAAAATTGTATGGACCTCCAAAATATTTGAATTTCGCTGTTTATTTATTTCGCTTTCTGTAGTAGCTTATTTTATTAAAAAAATTACTTATTTTTTAATCTACTCTATAAAATTTTATAATATCTATTTAAATTCCTTAAAAATTTATTTTAAATAGTTTTTAAAAATAATATAATGTGATAGATGAGATAAAATATTTTAAAGAGATAGCATACATAAAGATATCATAAAATTTTAAAATAATATAATAATAAATTATTTTTATGAAATGAAAATAAAAAAATATCATAAAATTTAAAAATAACTATCCAATTGTTTTTTATTATTGTAATTAAATATAAAATAATGTATGCTTTTTATAAAATATCTATAAAATTAATCTTTTTTAAAAAATCTCTAAATTATTTAAAAATCATTTATTTTTTTAATCTTGAATAAATGGGTCTTGATATCGTCAATTAATTAATAAGTTAACATTTATTTTTGTTCCTAACCTGTTAGCAGAAGAGCACATGGTGTCATAAACTCTAACTCTATTGTAATCATTTTGCTCTCGACATTAAATCCTCAAACATTGATCGATAAGCCAAGCGAGTGGGGAAGAAATCTCACCCAAAATACCAAATGCCTTGAAATGTCAACCTCAAGTTTGACCCCCGTTTGTCTTTTATTTCTTGTCCTTTTCGACAACTCTGAAGTTGAGAAGCATAGTGTTGGAACTTTCAAGCTCTCCACCAGATTCATCGATTATTATTGTATATGCAACTACCTCGGTTGGTTTAAACTCAAGCGTAGCCAAATCAAGAGATTTCTCCTTGCTCTTATTGCTTTTCAAAATGGCCAAGTAATAGAAATTAATTGATTGAATTACTTATTGAAGTTGAAGATAAAGTATCGAGTAATGATTAATAAAGCATTGAGCTTTGCCCTACTTTAATAATTCATTTTATTTAATGAAATAAATTTGGTGTTTTCATCTTGCATGACAATAATATTGGGTTCGGTCTCACATTTCTCTATTTTTGCCTCATCTTGGGACATCTTCTAATATCTTACCCGGAGAAGATGAGCACAAATAGACTGATCCCTTGCCTATTGGTGGCAATAAAGTCAAATTTACACAACCCTTGGCGAGACCTTTGTACTATTTTCATGATCAACGATGATAGCTATTATTGCGACTCCCATAGAAAGGTAAGAATAATCCTCTCCATTTCCACTCCAAGATGGCTATTATTCATCTTCTTTCAAAATATTCCTCTCAAGCCTTGTTTATCTTAGTAGTGTTTAATTTAGCTTTGACTCTTGGGTTATCTAAAGGCAAGCTTGCATGAACGCACTTTGTTTTGGGCTTCAACTATTGTAATGGAATAAAAAGCGTCGTCCACACCTTGTATGGGGGTTTTTAAGTTTGTGAATGAGTTTGTCAGTGATAGAACGAACCTCAGGGCTAGGATTTAAATTTGGGGCTGACGACGCAGCAATTGAGAGGAATAATTCCTAATCGGACAACGAAGGGGGTAAGACCCAAGGAAGACGCGGTCAGATGCCTGGCATTTTGGGTAAGTTTTCTTCCCGCCTCACCTAGCTTGATGATCGATATGACTTATCATTTTAACTAGTTTAAGAGCAAAATCGTTATGACTGAGAATTTAAAATACTAAGTGCTCATCTGTAAATAAATTGAAGATAAAATACACCTGGACTTTTAATTAAATTAATCTTTTGCTATTCTATTTTTTTCATTGATCTTCTTTTTGTTTTTGTTTTTCTCTTTTTCTGTTTTGATAATTTGTTTGCAGAACACTAATTATCAACTCCCACATAAATTCAGGATAGAAACGTTCACCAGCGTCAATCCACGATAACACTACTCTCTCCTACTCAATCGCTTCTTCCTCTGTTCTACTTTCTTCTCTTTCTCATGCACAAACATGCATAAATAATTGCCCCCCACCCTCCTTCACATTCTTGCCAGTTTCAGGATCAAAATTAACTATTGTTTTTATTTGTTTCCCAGAGAGAAGTTGTTCACTTCAAACCAACGTCTCTGATCACTAAAAAACCCGGCATCTGCTTAAACCCTAGTATTTCCCTCCAGACTCCAGAGCCTCTTCTGTCTCCGGAAGTTCGAAAGATGAAGATAGCAGTGGAGGGTTGCATGCATGGCGACCTGGACAATGTCTATAAAACCATTCAACATCTCGAAAAAATACACAACACCAAAATCGACCTCCTCATCTGCTGCGGCGATTTTCAGGTAGGCCCCCATTTCTGACCTTGAGCCATCGTTTTCACTTCCTTAATTCCATTAAGCTTCAGTTTCCTCAGCAAACATAGTTATCTCCCGGTTTCAGGCTGTCCGTAACGAAGAAGATTTGAAGAGCTTGAACGTGCCGCCGCGCTATCGCTCTATGAATTCATTCTGGAAGTACTATTCGGGGTTGGAGGTTGCCCCGTATCCGACAATATTCATTGGTGGAAACCACGAAGCATCTAATTACTTGTGGGAATTGTGAGTCGGGGTGCTTTAATCCGATATAGTATTACTGAAATGTTATTTTTGGGTTTTTTACTGAATTACCTGTTACTTGCTTTAGTACAAGTTTAAGTTTCGCGAGTACATCTGTCTCTCTTTAAAAGTTTATTGCAGCATGGCTTTGGCAGCCTAGGCCTTTGATATTTGTTGGTTATTTCTGCTAGGTATTATGGAGGATGGGCTGCGCCTAATATATATTTCTTGGGAGTTGCTGGGGTGGTCAGGTTTGGGAATATCCGAATTGGTGGAGTGTCTGGGATTTACAATGCACGTGATTATAAATTAGGTTGTTTATTTGTTTTTCATCTTTGATCATGGCATGAATCATGGGTTCATGTCGATTCTCGACTGCCTCCCGCTCGCACGTCATTTTCATTTCATTGATAATACTGAGTTATATGCAAAAGTACCATAAGCTATAGCTTTGCACGAGGCATTTGTCCTGTAAGAACAGTGACACAGGTCTTTTCTTTGAGCAGGACATTTTGAGAGGCCTCCTTATGATCAAAGTACAATCAGGTCTGTGTATCATGTTCGTGAATACGATGTTCACAAGCTCATTCAAGTTGAGGAACCATTTGATATCTTTCTCTCGCATGACTGGCCTGTGGGAATCACTGATTGTGGGGATTGGAAGGATCTCATTCAGCGCAAACATTTTTTTAAGCAGGAGGTAATTGTCTAGTTGATTGTTAAATGATGAGTTTATTTTTTTTATCTTAAGCAAACCAGGTTATTGGTTCTTGGTTTTATATTTTTTGTTAGTGCTTTGTCGAGGATACAGCAGCCTCTCAACTGACAGGGAAACAAGAATTACTGTGAACAGAATGCATATGCCATTTGGACAAGAAAATTACAAAGAACTGATATCATATGTGATTTTCTTATCCAATATAAGAAACCAACAATGCCTTCCATGTAGAGTTAAGGCATTGCACATCTATTAGGAATCCCTATTAACAAATTAAATCATGCTATGATGAATCATCAATGCTGATTTCCCCCAGGTATCAGTTTCCTGCCAGAACACCTGGAATTAAACATTCAGCATGGTAGGAAAGATGTTAGAGTAGCACCAAGGGATGTTAAAGTGTTCGTTTTTAAAATTCAGTGTGGAATCTGTCATATTGGTTTTTGGGTTTAGCTTCACGGAAACGTAAACACTAGTTGTGCTAATTTTGACACTAATGTCTAATACTCATGACAAACACTTTTGTCACTTCAACGTACCTCGGCTCTTGAGGTTACCAAGAAATGCACTGTCTTTGTCAGTATCCATGCTTCTTTTAGTCTATTTTTGGATCACTGTCAATTTATGACTCATCATGAGTATGAATATCTAGATAGTACAATATTATGATATATTCATGTTTGCCTCTGTTGTTCAGTCATCATTGCTTGGGCAGGATTTTAGCTATGATTTATATCGCTGTTTTCTGCTTGCAATGGCAAGTCAAGTCAGATTGCTGACTCATTGGCCAAAAAAAAAAAAAAACCAATAACCAATTGCATAAAGTATTTCCATCATGTGCACAAACTTGTTCTTATTTGGATTTTGTCTTTTTAGAACTGTTACACCACTATCTTTCTGGTTGTGTAATTGACATTAGCATTGATGGTATGCAATAACTGTGAAAATGTATACGAGGAATTTTTTGTTGTTTAATATTCACCATTTTTAAACTAACCACCCCTTGGTGTGTAATGTTTAATTCGACAACATTTAATGATCCTAAAAAAAATATGGTGGCCTCACTTCAGTTACCTAAAACATTTGTTAGATAGAGGAAAGAAGACTTGGGAGTAAGGCTGCAGCTCAACTCCTGGAAAAATTGAAACCACGGTATTGGTTTTCAGCTCACTTACACTGCAAGTTTGCTGCTCTTGTTCAACATGGAGATGGTGGCTCTCAGACAAAATTTCTTGCTCTAGATAAGTGCATTGCTGGTCGGGATTTCTTACAGGTATTGTATGTACATTAAATATCAATAGTGTCCAAAGTGTTTCTTGCAATTAGTGCTTGAGTTAGTGACTTAAATTTTGGCATTTTCTGTGTCATTAGATTGTGGAAATTGAATCAGAGGCAGGACCTTATGAAATTAAGTATGATGAGGAATGGTTAGCTATAACACGGCGGTTCAACCCTGTCTTCCCTTTAACTGCCAAAGCTGCAGATTTCAGGTGAGTTTGCACGTGATGTGAAAGTACCTTACTTAACATTTATATAAAATCTTTTTTGTCCTCCCTTTTCTCGCCTCACAAATAAAATGATGCTGTGCTTGCTTGCTGATAGAGGTATAGATCTTGAGATGGAGGACTGTCGTCAATGGGTTAGAAGCAGGCTGCAAGAGAGAGAGCACAAGCCTTTTGAATTTGTTAGAACTGCTCCATGTTACGATCCTTCTCAATCCAACGTCAGGGGTAGCTTTGCTGGTAATTCTTCATCTCACATCAGTAAGCTTGCATAGTGTACAACAATTTTGGTTTCTTTAAGCCTTTTTTTTTTGGTTAATGAAATTCATGTTTTTATATTCACCATCACTTACAGTATTTGGGCTAATTTGCAGCTCTCTTGGTCTCATTTGTGCGCTTCTTTCGCTAACATGCTTGCACAAGTCACATCACTTGTCTGTCTCTAATCAATTGTAGATTTGTTCATTTTGACTGTTGGACGCTCTACGGTTTGGTGGTTTAGTAAAGACATCTAGTTCAAAATACTCCTTTCATTTGAATGCATAAAGCATCTTAAATTATTTATAAATTTAGAGTTTGCGTGACGTAGGGATGTCAATTCATGAGTTTGCTTTTCTTGTCTATACCTTCTTCTGATTTGGTTGAATGTGTAGAATATAAATGCAATTTTTACAAGTATTATGCATGTATGATTCTTCAATTCCCACCCTTTTGGGTTGCAGGTAAGAATGCCGTAAATGAGCCTTTTGCAATAATAATATGATAGTTTTAGTTGCTAGCTGATATTTAGTTACTTTTTAGTCTACTGCCTTAACATTTCTTTTATAATCACAATTCACACCCCTGTTTAATGGATTTTACTAACTTGATCTGTTTTGTTGGCCAAAATCATTAAAATAAAGCTGAGCTCTCTTCTATTGGTTATTCTCATGATCTTAAAAGTTTAGATGATTTATTTCTTTTTGATCCCCCTTGATTCTTTGCAGTGAATCCTCGAAATCCACAGACAGAATCTCTTTTGCAGCTCTTAGGACTTCCGTATCTTCTTGATAGCACTCCTGAACTACAGGGCTTACCACCTTATCCTTCTCCCTCAATTCAAAGAGGTAAAGTTCAGCCTCTTTCTTTTTCCAAATTGGTTATAGATGAGAAATGAATTCTTTTTGTATGAAACACAAGATGGGGCAGAGAACTAGAGATTATTCCTATAGATTTGCTCCTGAATGACCTTTTTGTATGGGACCAACATTTCCTACACTCTCCTTCTCTTGGTTGGCTGTCTGCACTTGTAGTTTGAGGTTTGAGCTATCTATTTTTGAGTCGCTGCTTTTTATACTTTAATAATGCTGTGAGAGATCGTGGCCAAGCCTAGCAGGATTTTGTGTAGGAGCCATATATGTCCAGCTTTGAGCTGAACTGCTTGTAGTTCTGATCATTTGAGGTTCTATTATAATACTCCCTTGGTCTCAAATTATCTTCCATCTCAAATTATCGAGACAAGATTATGCATACTAATAAAATTTATGACGACATTTTATAAACTTACTTTTTCAAAGCAAAAATATAAATTTTTAAAATGCCCTTCATTTAATATAATTTTAAATCTATATACTTAATCATTACATTACAATCTCTCTCCACTTAAATGGTAATATTGTAAAAGTATTATTAATAAAACTTTATTTTTGTTAAATTGTCTTATATTTTGAGCAATGAAATACTTATAAAGTTGCCTTATAATTGGGAGTACTTCTTCTTCTTCTTTTTTCCATAAGAGGGAGTACTTCTTCAGAACTGAATAACAATCCCCGTCTTTCATAGTATTTCTACTGCTTGGGAGTGCCTTGACAGCTTTATGCAAAAGGGAAATATAGTGGCTGCTTGATTTCAAGATGGCTTCTAAGCTCAATTTTTGTGTCTGCGTCGAGCTATATAAACAATGTTAATGTTAATAAAATGAAGTTATAAAAAAAGAAGGCTTATAATAATGCATTGAGCTCGAAAAATAATGTTAATAAAAGAAAGATTCGTGCTGACTGGTCTAAACTGGACCTTTTAGAGGTTGACCAAATTCTTGACGCTGTTAGTTAGGAACTGAGAAACACGTTAATTGTACAACATGGGACCTCTTAGATGAAGTGGCATGCAGATGTGATTTTAATTTCTAAGCCAGTTGCATTAACCTTGTGTGATTTGTATATTTCCCATTTCTCAGAGTTGCTTGTATCTTGCATATATTTTCTAGGTTCCATTGGTTATGACAGCGAGGACATTCCGATTGATGATGGAGATGATGTTGGTGATGATGAATAAGTCTGAGGAGTGGATGTGGTAATTGAGAACGTGAATCTGTTAAGCTTAATTTCAAATCTGCTGAATTGCTAGTGCACAGCACCTAGCAATTTATGACAAATGAAAATCTGTGATGTGTATTTATAAAATATTCTCGATGTTCTTTCCTATTCTTCATCTTGCTTTTTTTTTTTTTTTAATTTTTGGGTAACATTGATTTCCTTCTTTTTAATATTTATTTGGGATGCAGTATATTAATTTACAACAAAATCAAAAAAGCTACAAGGCCTTTTCATTATACCGTTCCATTCCATTGTTAATTATCTGTTATAACGCCTGACACTTGGGCTGCAGTTGATTGGCTCTACTAGCAAAATGGAAAACAACCACCTATGTAGATGTTACACTGGAGCTGGTCTGTTCGCTCTGTTTTTTTCTTGGATATTTTTTATCTTGCAGGATAAAGTCACGCACATGTTGTGGAATAGTGGTGGGAATGGGGAAAACTGATTTAGATTACAAAAATGATCTTTATTTCTGTCCAAATTACCGTTTTAATTGTTTTACGCAACTAATAGTTAATAATAAATTTTAGATTAGGATTAAGAAAATCAATTTCATCCTCAGTAAAATATAAAAACAGAAGCCAGTGTGACATTAATTTCTTATTTCTTCGTTTACTGAGTTTTTGTCTTTTAACAATTGATAAAATATTTCATTATTTTAAAGATTTAAAAAATGTTATAAATCATTTAAAGTATTTCTTTTCACAGTCAAATAAAAATAAGAGATAAATATTAGTTTTTATATTTATAAGTCATTTTGTAAAATTATGAAGCAATTAGTATTTTTTAAACAATGCCTTAATTTGAATGTCATTAAATATTAAATAATTAAGGTAAAATAAGTGAAATTGAATTAGAAATTGCCTCAATATTCGTATTTTATACAATATAAAAATTCATTTATTCTTTTGGGTGTAATGAAAAGAAAGAAAATAATAATCACTGAATCCCTCAACATCCAACGGCAACAGAGGCCCCTTCAGGCAAGAGTGTTGACAAAAATAAATAGATAAATAAAAAAATAACCGTGGCAAAATCATGAGGGGGCCCAAAAAAAAAAAAAAGGAACTTAAACAAAAACCTCTCTAGAAACCCAAGGAAGCGGCACGCCTCCTGCCAGTGTGGTTCGGCTGCTTCGTTTTCTATCATAGATTTTCGCGGATGGTTCTATCTGAAGAATCTGAATCGGAAAGCCATTACAATTTTTACTGGTTGAAGTAGCAGAAATCAGCCATGGCGGATGTGGCAGTGATGACAGAGATTGAGGCGACGGCGTCCCGTCTCGGTGTCGATCTGTCCACGATCGATCTCAACTCTGTTCGCCTCCCTCCCGGCGATGACTTAGGCATAGTAAGGTAAGTCTTTCGTATGCTGATTGTTTTCAAGTAACTTGGATTAATTATGCTACCTGCGTATCGTCATCTTTTTTCTGTTGCAACTTAGAAGTAGCGTTACCCAGGAATTACTGGAGGGTAGTTTGCCATTTTTTTGATGGATTTTGACTTCCTGCTGTTCGTGCCCTTCCATGATTGGCTTGCTATGTGATAAAATATGATCTTGCTGGCCAAAACTTTTTTTTTTTCCTTTCTTCGTTAGGGTTCTTATATATTTAAATTTAAAATTGTTTAAAGGCGCGGTTAGTTTGCACTCCGTATGCCATTCAGGACCGGTTTCATTCATCATACATTATTTTTGAATGACAGTGACGATGAAGATATTTACCAAGAGGATAGTCAGGAGTTTGAAACTGGATTTGGCAACATTATAGTTGTGGACAATCTCCCCGTAGTTCCTCGGGAGAAATTTGAGAAGCTTGAAGGCGTGATAAGAAAGATCTATAGCCAGATAGGCGTGATAAAGGAAGATGGTCTGTGGATGCCTGTTGATCCAGATACGAATAAAACTTTGGGTTATTGTTTTATTGAGTATAATACGCCTCAGGTGCATCATTACCCCATCCTAACTTGCTCATGCGTATATTTTCTACCAAACTAATATTTAATTGACAAGTCTGCTAACCACACTGATTTATTTACAGCTTCTTATTTTCTTTAGATTGTCTAGTTCTATCAAAAGCATGTTGCCAAATGAAGACATAATGTTACTTCTAAAAACACTGATTGATGAGAGAAAAATTGCTTTGTCTGAATATGAAAACCTAAATACGATATTCGGCCTTCACTTTCCCTTCCCTCTTGGAGGAGCGGAAGTGTCTGAGCAATTTGCAGTGTGATGGGGGAAACGGGTGGTAGTTTTTTTGTTTTTTTCTTTTTTTTTAAATGGAAATTGTATGTTCAATCCAATCCAACTCTGAAGTAAGTTTCAGTGATCTCATCTGTGTCATGGTATTGACTTTTTTTTTTGGCCATCCATGGTATTGAATACAACAACAACAACAAGCCTTTATCCTACTATGTGGGGTCGGCTACATGGATTGCAAGACGTCATTGTGCTCTATCATTTATCAAGCTTTTAGGAATATTATTAATTAAGAGATCGCGTTCAATAACTTCTAAGAGTGTTCTCTTAGGCCTTCCTCTACCTCTTTTAATCGGACTTAAAGTTATATGTTTCACTCTTCTCACTGGTCCTTTTTGTACATGCCCAAACCATCTTAACTGATTTTCTAACATTTTTTCCTCAATAGGTGCCACCCTCACTTTTTCGCGTACGTGCTCATTTCGAATTTTATCTTTACGTGTATGTCCGCACATCCATCATAACATTCTCATTTCTGCTACTCCAACTTTATGCTCTTGCTGTCTCGTTAGAGCCCAGCATTCACTACTATATAACATTGCCGATCTGATAGCAGTGCGATAAAACTTTCCTTTAAGTTTATTAGGCATCTTACGGTTGCAAATAACTCCTTTAGCTTTTCTTCAATTAAACCACCCAGCTTGGATTTTATGTGAAATATTTCCACTGATTTCGTCATCATTTTGAATAATGGCTCCTAAATATCTAAACTTTTTCACTTGAGGTATAATTTGATCTCCCAATTTCACTTCCAAATTATTGTCGAATAGTCCTTTACCAAATTTACAATATAAATATTCCGTCTTACTTTTATTTAGAAGAAAACCTTTTGACTCTAATGTCCTCCTCCATAACTCAAGTTTGCAATTAACCTCTTCTCTTGTCTCTGCTATAAGAACTATATCATCCACGAAGAGCATACATTTCGGAATTTTTCCTTGAATATGTTCCGTCAAAACATTTAAGATCAAGTTGAACAAATAAGGACTCAGAAATGATCCCTGATGTAGTCCAATCTTTATAGGAAAATCCTTTGTTTGATCACTAGGCGTTCTTATACTAGTTTTTACCCCCTGATACATATCTTGTATGGCTGTAATATAAACAATCTGTACTCCCTTTTTTTCTAACGCTTTCCAAAGCACTTCTCTTGATATACGGTCATAAGCTTTTTCCAAATCAATAAAAACCATGTGTAGATCTTTATCTTTACAGCGATACTTTTCCATTAATCCCCTTAGTAGATAAATCGCCTTTGTAGTTGATCTACCTGGCATAAAACCAAACTGATTCTCAGAAATACTTGTCTCCAATCTCAACCTGTGCTCAATTACTTTCTCCCATAATTTCATTGTATGGCTCATGAATGTTGAGTATTATTTGTTTTGAATTTGAACATGTAGAGGTACATTTTATATTGGTGCAAGTTTTTTGTCTGTGACAGTTTCCGACTCATGCCTAAGTTTTTATGCTCTCTAAATCATGTTGTGGGAATGTTTTGTTCCATCAGCCCGTCACAAAAGCATTTTACATGATTCCATAGGGTAGCTCATTCTGTTATAAAACCTGCAAGACGAGGTGTCTTTTCATCACTCCCTATCTTTGTCTGTATGGCATTGCAGGAAGCTGAGCTTGCTAAAGAGAAGACACATGGTTACAAGTTGGACCGCTCCCATATCTTTTCTGTGAATATGTTTGATGACTTTGAGAGGTTCATGAAAGTTCCAGATGAGTGGGCTCCCCCTGAAACCAAGCCATATACCCCAGGGGTAATATGCTAAAACAGTTTTGTTCTTGTATAAGTGAGGTGCCTTTTTTGTTGTTTTAGACATACATGGTGCAATAAGATAAATTTCCGATGTTGCCAATAAATATTAATGCAAATTGTGTTTTTTACCAAAGCTGTGGTACCTATGAGGATTCCATCGCATTTTCTTTGGACTCCATCATCAAATGTAGCACAGAATGATTTAGAATTTCATGTTTTAATCAATGTCAATAAGGCATACATTAAGGCCAAATGCTAATCAATAAGTCAGGACATTCTAATTTATATTTCATTTGGTATGTTAAAGTTGACAGGAATTTTCTATATTCAACGATAAATTTATTAGTTTTCTTGTTTTCTCCTAGTCTGCCTTTTGAATTGATTTTTCCCCTCACTTCTTTATGCCATATCATTTTCTCGCCATAATTATTTGTCTATTTTGGTGGAGATCATGAGGGTTTTGCGTCATTCTCAATTTCTATTGAGTTTATAGAGACAAATAGATACAGCTACTCAGTGATCTTTACTATATTGTTTGGTCAAATACTCTTGCAGGAAAATCTTCAGCAGTGGCTGACTGATTCAAAAGCCCGTGATCAGTTTGTAATTCGTGCCGGTTCAGATACTGAGGTGTTGTGGAATGATGCAAGGCATTTGAAGCCTGATCCTGTTTATAAGCGAACTGTAAGTGAAGCCTCCCCCTCCCCAAAAAAAAAAAAAAATCTCTCAATATCAACCTAGTATTTGTGCATGATGAAGCTGAGTGTTTTTTTGGCCAATAAGATGCTGAGTGTTTAATTATGTTTACGTTGCAGTTTTGGACTGAAAGCTTTGTGCAATGGTCTCCACTTGGGACATACTTGGCAACTGTTCACAGACAGGGAGCAGCAGTTTGGGGAGGTGCAATGACATTCAACCGTCTCATGCGTTATGCTCATCCCCAGGTTAATTTTGGATTTTGTTTATGCATAATTGGGCCTGCACACTATCTTTATTACTTACTAATGAACATATATAACTGCAGGTTAAACTTATTGATTTCTCACCTGGTGAAAAGTATTTGGTAACCTATAGCAGCCATGAACCTAGCAATCCTCGAGACGCAAATGTAAGCATTTGCTATATTGAATTCTTTCTTTATTATGTTATTTGTATCTTGGTGCTATTTCTAATTAAGTTACTTTATTCAGAGGGTAGTCATAAATATATTTGATGTGAGGACTGGGAAAGTGATGAGAGATTTTAAGGGAAGTGCAGATGATTTTGCAACTGGAGGTAGTGGGGGTGTCACTGGGGTGTCATGGCCCATATTCAGGTATTTGGTTTTCTTTGGCCCAATTTTAATCATTTTTGCTTGTGACTCGTTGGCATGATGGAAGGATATTGTTTTTCTAGATGGGGAGGAGGTAAGGATGACAAGTATTTTGCAAGACTGGGAAAAAATATGATCTCTATCTATGAGACCGAGACATTTTCCCTCATTGACAAGAAGTCCTTGAAGGTTGAAAATGTAATGGATTTCAGCTGGTCGCCAACTGATCCAATCCTCGCGCTTTTTGTTCCAGAATTAGGTGGTGGGAACCAGCCTGCTAGGGTGAGTCCCTTTTTATGGTTCAAACTCTTCTTGTTCATGGACACAGGGACACAGGATTTTGCTTTGGGTATGAAAAAAAGATGATTTAAGCCCTGTGCTTGCATATTTTACAGGTGAGCTTGGTTCAAATTCCCAGCAAAGATGAACTTAGGCAGAAGAATCTTTTTAGTGTAAGCGATTGCAATATGTACTGGCAAAGCAGTGGAGACTACCTGGCTGTTAAGGTTGATCGTTATACAAAAACCAAGAAAAGTACATACACAGGCTTTGAACTCTTCCGTATTAAAGAGCGAGACATACCCATTGAAGTTTTGGAGCTTGAGAATAAAAATGACAAGATTATTGCCTTTGCCTGGGAGCCAAAAGGCCATAGGTTTGCTGTCATTCATGGTGATAATCCAAGGCCTGATATTAGTTTTTACTCTATGCGAACAGCTCAGAATACTGGCCGGGTTTCAAAGCTTGCAACTCTCAAAGGGAAGCAGGCAAATGCTCTTTTCTGGTCACCTGCTGGTCATTACATAATACTTGCAGGATTGAAGGGCTTTAATGGACAGCTTGAATTTTATAATGTGGATGAGCTTGAAACCATGGCAACAGCGGAGCATTTTATGGCTACAGATATTGAATGGGATCCTACGGGAAGGTGAATGGAGTTAAATTAGCCTGTGCATGCATTAAATAATTGTTTTGTTTGAAGTAACTAGGCTGTGCTTTTCTATTGGTGCTGATTAATTTCAATACAAATGGTCTGTGCTTTAAACTTGAAAAATACTGTTCTTATATTGTAGATACTTGCAATTTGTACAGAAAGTATGAATCATATGGCTTACTTTATGTGCTCTTAATGTTGTTTGTTTATGAAGAAGGCCTAAATTCAATTGTCTGTAAGATGAGATGTTTTTCTATTTAGGCTAATTGAATGAGGTGGCTCCGGTATCTGTATTGACCTGCTCGCATCTGTAGGTATGTTGCAACTTCGGTGACCTCCGTTCATGAAATGGAAAATGGTTTCAATATATGGTCTTTTCACGGTAAGCTCCTCTACCGGATACTAAAGGATCATTTCTTTCAGGTAATTACTTTACCAACCTTGCTTTTATCTGTCCATTCTGTTTCTGAAGAAATGTATGCCAAAAAATGGCCATTAATCACATGGTTTCTTGACTGGTAATCACAGTTCTTGTGGCGGCCAAGGCCACCCTCTTTCTTGAGTCCTGAGAAAGAGGAAGAGATTGCTAAGAACTTGAAGAAGTATAGCAAGAAGTACGAGGCAGAAGACCAAGATGTATCAATGCTGTTAAGTGAGCAGGATCGTGAGAAGAGGAGGATGTTGAAAGAAGAATGGGACAAATGGGTAAATGAATGGAAGAGACTGCATGAAGAAGAGAAGTTAGAGAGGCAGAAACTTAGGGACGGAGAAGCCAGCGATGAAGAGGAGGAGTACGAGGCCAAGGAAATTGAAATTGAAGAAGTGGTTGATGTCTCAGAGGAGGTCCTTCCATTCGACTATGGTGAAGAGTAAATGAATGTACACTAGTAATTCCCAATTCCTCAGTCTCAAAACTCGGTACTCATTTTAATTTTTTTTGAATCTCCTGCATCTCAAAAGCAGCGAGCTTTTTTGTTTTGTTGCCTTCTATTTCTCAAAATTTAAAAAGAAAGATGCTTTGTAAGTTTATAACTGCGTGGAAACTCGTACTCCAACTTTCGTTAGGGGACCTGTTGCCGACACTTAGTTCATTTATTTGGCAGGCTTGAATTTCTGGGCAATTGGTCGATGTCTATTGTCATATTGAATGGCTGACTTGACGATGAAGAGGCCATGGAAGTATGTTTGAGTTGCTTCTGCCAAAAATCAGTCAAGAAAATGAATTAATTGATCATGTGATTTACTTCTGGAATACATGAGTTTGTTGAAATTGTACTGTTGTTTTTTTTTTCTAATTGTATAATTTTTCACTAATAAATCTTTCATTAATTTTACAAAAAATGAATTTTGTTTCAAATTCACATACAAAAATATGAAATGAGTGATATTTTAGCATGAAACTAAAATTAGGCTCGAATAATTTTTTTTGCAGTGTGTGCGCGCGCGGGAGAAATGAGGGTAAAACGAGTTGATGTTTTGCCATAGATCGAAAGTGCGGGAGAAATGAGGGTAAAACGGGAAAAAAAAAAAAACAGTTTTAGGCGCCTCATAATGTGAATGTTCTTGAAGTCAACCATGATGATTATCAAAAGGGTTGACTTTTGATTCTGAAAGGCAGGCTGAGACTGGTTCAAAAGAGTGGAACGAAATATGAGGATGGCACAAAAGAATTGTAATGTGCTGATGATGGAGGAAATAGCTGGAAGAGCCTCCTCCTTGACAGCGAAATAAGTGCCTTTCCCCTCATCCCGATCATGCAAGTTTTTATGGAGAATATAGGAATATAGCACAATTTCAATCATGCATGTGCCTAAATAATTCAACAATAAGTGGTTAGCATCGTCTTGATTTCCGCCTCACCCAAAAAAAAAAAATCTCCATTTGCTACCATCATTGAAAAAAAGGGGGTGGGGGATCACAATGTCTCTATTTTGTACTCTGCGTGACCTGTGTCCCCACTAGGGACTACTTTCATTTTAACAGATAACAAATTGAATAGATCTTATGTAGATTATGTCAAGTGCGATGATATATGTAACTGCACAGAACTTTTAAGTTTAAACGTATCATTTAAGGTTTATTAAGAGTGAGATAGTTTGTACTTTTTTTTAACACAAGTGAATATTGTAGACAATAAATATTAGGCCCCACTCAGTTGTGCACAAGAGGATTTCTTGTTTGGTTCCTCAACCCCATCCAGAGACTTCGGAGCAGGTATAGCCGCATGGGAAGGAACATGAGATGAAGTGAAAACGCCGTAGAAAGAAAAACATACATGACCCCTACAATTGAAAAGCTTTAATAAACTGTTAAGATTAGACGCCGAACAAGAAAAGAGACAACAATCTTCTTAACAAAAGTAACAGCCTCCGAGCTGAGAGCCAAGTTCGTCGTTTGTTACGTGAGAAATGATACGTGAATAGGATCATGTGCTTCCTTTATTTTATTTTACACTTTTAATTAAAAGAAAAGCGCGTGGGGGTGCCCTTCCTCTTCCGTTCCGCCGGCTGCTTTGATTTTCGAATTACAATGTCCCCTACTCAAGAGGTATCCGCCACCTGTCAAGCGTCAACACAGACCAATTTCTTTGATAGAGATTGATTTGTTTTTGTTAATTTTATTTCTGGGGACGTCATTAATAACGCCCACGTCCTTAGATAAGCTTACTTTATGAAGAGTTTTTTTTTTTAATTTCTTTAATCACTCTCCACTTAATATTACGTTAGAAGGTCAATGATGATTGAGTCTACTCTCTTTGTTTTTGTTTTAGGTTCCGCGTACTGCTTTGTTTGACCATTTATTAATTTCAGATTTGATTTATAAAAAAAAATACTTCCATGGTGGCCCCGAGAGAGAGAGAGAGAGAGATTTCTTCCATTTTTTAGGGAGAAAAAAATCAAGCGCAGTAATGTAGTAACAAACTAACAAGCAACAACGTGCTCTTGGTAATCAAATAAAAGTTGAAAAAAAAAAAATAAAGCAAATGTATTACTTAAGATAAATGGATTTATGGTGTTTCTTACTTAATGGAGGTGCTAGGTATGGAGAGATCAGAGAAACTGTACAGACACGGGTCATCGTACATATATATAGGTGTCAAGTTAAAAGCGATAAGGTTCAACGTTTTTTCCCCAATATCTCAACTAGCGAGGCCATGAATCAGATCAATCAGCGTCGCTCAGCAAGGAACCGCTAGTGGAAAATCTGTTTTGTTTTTTCCCCCGCGTAATGGAACCTTTTGGTGACGCAAGGCAGTGGGTCACATAATCCTTTAAATCATCTGCTCTTTGATGCTTCGAGGCCATCGCTCATTCATCAGCGACAGTCTATATGCTGAGATATAACTGCTCTTTTACCAAACAATTCATTGCAAGAGTCAATTGGCTGCCCTGTATTTGAATCCCACTACAAAAACTCAATGCGCAATAAATGAGATGACAAAAAAGAGGCAGTAGATTACATGCATCTCTATACTTTTTTTTTCTCTCAATAAAATGTCCAAATAATCTAAAAATTATTTACTCCCTCTATTTCAAATTATAAATCATTCTTAAATAAAATTATACATACAAATAAAATTTATTAGATACACATTATATTAATCCTACCTTTTAAAATAAAAATAAAAATTTTTAAAATTATCGTCCATTTAATATTGGATACTAAAAAAGAAAATATATAAAAAATATTAAATAATATTATTAATAAAATTTTATTTTTATTAAAATATCCTATATTTTAAAATGTTAAAATTTTTAAAAAAAAATGTTAGTAATTTGGGATGGAATGTTTTTTAATCTAACAAAACCGTAAATCGCTTTCGTATAGAGTCTATAATAATTTCAGTTTGCTTCTGTACTGTCTTTTGTTTTCCCCCTGAAAGAAGGTTTCATTTCTTCCGTTCCTTACAGAAGTTCCCACTTCCCACTGGCCTGGATACCTCAACAAGCATACACAGCATCTAAGCTCACCCAAAAAGCAAAAGGATAATACGCGAATGATCAGATTCCTTTTCCCTGCCTTATTCTGTTTCCACTCTTACTTTTCTATAATTCATCGTGAACTAATTCCATTCTTAATCTTTCATGGATCACTGTATGATGCTGATTCTGTGGAATGCTATGCTTTCATATGAAGATTACCAGAAAGTGAAACAAAGTTTTATGAACACCGACATTCGGTTATTATCTGATATTCCCAAGTGACCAGCGCGGAAAGAGAGATTACAGAAACGAGAAAAATAATTAAAAGCTTCAAAGTTAAATAAATTATTTTAACCCTAACTAGGGATTTACCCCTTCCTCTTGGTCAGCTGATTTATCGTGATTCACCTTCGACAACCCTATCCCGCGCGCTAACGGCGGAGCATTATCTGTAACGACCCTCGCCGACGACAGCTCCATCTGACAAACTCTGACGGCACCTATTAATCTCTCCGGCAATTCATCCTGCGTTTGCGATTCCACCAAAAAGCCCATGTCGATAGTGACATTCGTTACATATCCCAACGCGAGATGCAAAATAGCGTTCGCAATCGCCGAGCTTCCGATATCGATATCGATTTCTAAATAATTCGGTCCTCTGTGATAATTGCATGTTAAAGCCTTCCCTAACAAGCAGGCACTATAATTTCCGACCGTCTTCTTCACAATCCACGGCCCCTTCACGATCCGGTTCACCAATTTAAACCGCTGATTTCTGAAGGCGTCATCGCCATTGATAAATCGATAAAGGAGCGAGCCGGAAGGAACTGGATCTTCCGTGGCGAAATAGAACACCGCGCTGTGAAAATCCTTACCAGGTACTTGTAGATTCACGGCAAAAATAAAGCTCTTCAACGATCTGCCTTGATCTTGGGCTTTCCGGAGTGCATGCGACACACGGTTATCGGCACGGCCGAGCACATTATCGAGCTTACTGTTAGATTGGAGCCAATCCATACCTACAGGAGAGAGCAGATAGTCTCCAGCAGGAGCCTTCTGCCGTTTTGTTAGGTAGTTTTCGGAACGGAGAAAGAAAAGATCGCCGGGCGGTGACGCCCAGCCGTTAGTTCCATGGTGCATGTCGACGCGGCGTAGGGATCCGCCAGCGATTGCCTCGGAAATCCAGTCAACCGCGGAGGCGGAATCACCGGACCCGGCGGTGATTTCAGGGGTAGAATCGGAGCCGGAGCTGCGGGAATTATTCTTCTTGGGGCACATGGATGGATACTGGATAGAGCGAGTCTTCAATCCGGGGACGAGAACGCTTGCACTGGTCTCCACTCCACGCACAACTCCCTTTCAAGATAGTAGTGCGCGCGTGGGAGAGACGTTTAATATGGAAGCAGGAAACATGAGAATAAAGGTACCCTCGTGTTTCCATGAAACTACCAAAATGCCCCTTCCGCTCTGGTACCCATCTCTCTCTCTCTCTCTCTCTCTCTCTCTCTCGTTCTTTCTTTATTATTTATTTATTTTTATTTTATTTTTGGGAAGGCCCTCTCTTATGTTTTGCCGTCTAAGCCAGCTAGCTAATTTTGTACCGCTGAAACGCGCTGGCAGGATCTTGATTATAGACTAATCATAGTTGCTTTTTGGATTAAAAATTGAGTTCATGAATTTTAACAGCTTGGAAATGTAACACGACTTGATTTTAAATATTGAATTTCTGTGGTGACAGAAAAAAAAGTACTAGATGATTATAATAATTAACTGATTCAATCGCCTCTGTATATATCGATAATTTTAGGTCTACGTGGAAATGGAAATAAATAATATGATCAAAACCTACTTTTGTGGTATAAAGAGTTGCACGTGAAATTATACTTTTAAATATTTTTAAATAATTACAGGTGGATTTTTAAATGCACTGTTTGTTTTATAAGTAAATCTTATTATTAATATTATTAATTTATTTTTACATCAAAAATTTACATGTTTAGGTTTGATGTACTTAACGTGTACGAAATATATCAAACATGAAAAGTTTTGAATGATAATCTTAAATTAAAAAGTATCATGCCATAAATAGATTTCTACGGCTCATGCGATTTACCCAGAGAATAAAGATTGGATGTGACAATGCCACACAGGATTCAACTCATATCATTGGTTTTCCCCTGTCTAGCGAAGCAAGTGGCAACGAAATCGAAATCGAATTTTATACAATGGATTGGCTAAATCATCGACTCAATTAATAGTTACTCACCAGTTATTATCAGTTTTTCAACATCGTATGATGACTTTTATTTATTTTTACCGAAGAAAGAAACACAGGGCAACATATATCTTTAGTGATATTTATACGATTTTTACACATATTTCCCTCTCTCCTTTAGTCCTTTTATCTATCAATATATTTATAATTTAAAATAAAACTTATACATTTTTCGTCTTTGAATTCTCTATGCATTTCTAATACTTGGAGCAAAAATAGTCGGTTTAAATTTAATTCATCCTTATAACTTTAATATCTTCACTTAAAAGGGAATGAAATATAAGATAAATTGCCTACTTTTGTTTATATAATCGTTGTCTTCGTTTATCACACAAAAATTTCCTAGCCAAACCAATTGTTTTTTTTTTTTCAAAATTAACTGATTTCAAAATCTTCCTTTCTCTTCACATCACTGAAACCAAAATCTTGAATTTTAATGATAAATTTGGAACACAATGGACATTGTCCCCCGGCCGCACCAAATTATAGAAAAGAAAACCTATTTCCAATCCTACAGATGAATAAGACGCACCAAATAAAGGTAAAATTTATGGCATTAACATCAAATTTTGAACAGCTAAAACCTTCGATAAAAGTTTTAGATATTACTCATGAAGAGGTATTTTTATTTTATTTAAATTTCAAGGAATACGTAGAACAAAAAAAAAATTCATGGAATGTGTGTTTGTGTGATCATAGGAAAAAGGAATATATAATCATTGTTTATAAAAGTTGTCCTCATTCATTCATTGCCGGTAAACATTATTTCTTATCCTATATAGGCCACCCTAACTAAAACATATTCATGAAAAGAATGAATTCATTTTGTTTGCATTATAATAGTTTGAGCATATAAAGTCACATACCACCACTGCACAGCGCGCGCCCTTTCTTGTTTTAAATAATAACTAGGTAGGATGTTGTTCTCTCAAGAACCATCACATTTATAGATGTCATCGTCGACAATTCCGATAGCGACGCACAAAGACAAGGGATCAAAGATATCGACAAGCGGGGACAGTAAAAATTAGAAAGTGCCTTTACGCTTTGGAAGGGCTTGATCACAAACTCCCACTCAATTCCACAATGTTGCTCCCTTCTTTTGCCTTCCTTTGTCTTCTTTTTTCCCAAACGGCTCCTAACTTAACGACTACTTCTGCATATGCTTTGTAAGTTTGGATTTGACATTTTTTAAGAAAAAGATAAGACATGGGCACGTGAATCAACACGTGAATGGAACTTGGGAGCGGAACAGCAATAGCTCACTCTGGTCTCTGGATACAGCTTCCCTCAGTAAGAAGAAAAGTGTGCAACACAGTACAATACAAGACTGCTTATTTTATAGGAGACTCAGAACGTCATACCAATTAACACGTGGTTCCTTCGTGCACGGACGCACTGTTTTAGCCTTATTTTGAGTTTCACAATCCCACGTCGTTATCTCCATTAAAAGACCACGATTGTGGGTACTTGCACAATGCGAGCAAGTCGTTATAAAAAAGTACCGCCTAGATGAAATCTTCTTTGGGATCTTTTTGTCTCGGCTATATGCCACCATTGCAATTGCCTGAAAACTGAATCTGCTGATGCAATTTCTCTTGGCCAAACGAAAGGAAACTTCACTGCCTAGACAATGTTTCAGTACATGATAGCAAACAGACACAAATAAATAGCTCAACCACATGGACCACAAAGACCAAACTCGGATCCAAACCTAAAGCCTAGATACTCCACAAAACAGTCGACCGTTTTAGCCCTACCCAACACCAGTTCCATACAGATAACATAGCAACCATATTCCAAGACCTAGGACGGGATGATCCGAATAACACTTCCAGGTCTGTTATACCGATTTCACAAAGTCTGAAGCATATTTTGCATCAAGGTAAACTTGGATCACTGCAATAATTTAGCTGCATAAAGTCCGGTCAATTTAAAAAAATTACCACAGGATTTACACATTTAAGTGTCCTTTTTTTAAAAAAAAATTTTTACATACTCTGTAGTATATACTTTCTTTGAGTATGGAACAAAATGTGTCTACTAAACTAATTACTTTTCCATGTTTATTGTCATATGCTGACAACCAAAGACAAATTCACTATCTTTTGTACAAAAATGCATGCCATGTTAATACACGCAATGCAGAGTTCAGGAAACTTCAAGAATTAATTATGATGTATGCTATGGTAGTCACTCTATGCTCTTATGTAACTGTAAATCATACAGGCAATGGTTGCTGAAAGATCCTTTCACCTTATTTTCTTAAAAAGACAACTAAAATCAAAAGGGAAACTTTTATTTCTCATAAATAATGACAACAATTTTGTTGCATGTGTCAGCAGACCATAACTTGTTCGATACTGATCATTACAAAAATGAGATGGGGAAACCCTCTTTCAAAAGCTAGCTATTGAATAGAGGAAAACAATCCACTTAAATACCATATAAAGTATCTTGTATTACTCAATATGAGATTGAGGCATGCAACACTCGGGTAAGGTGGGAAACTCTGTGCCCAACACTCAGGTAAGATGGAAAACTCCCCCCTAAAAGCCAGTTATTGAGATGAGAAAACCTCAGTTTCCATCAGATACTAGCATTATATTTTCAATATATACTTGAATTGGGTTGAAAGATCACATTAGTCACTTGTGAATATCTTACAACCTTTTGTTTTCATTTTATAATCAGTCTGCAGGAAAATATTGCAACAGCAAAGAGACGAATCTGACCTTGAACAAGCAACTTAAAAAAAAAAAAAAGACAATACCAGTGAATCTTACATATAGGGAAGCTAATTATTGTGCACTTTCTTTGGCTAGATTTACTAAGGATAGCGTAGTGAGTTTTAATAACTTTGATAAATTCCCACCTTGTTGTTGGAAGGTGGTTGATGGTGAAAGGAACATGTCAGCTGATAACTAATTTTTTTGGGTTAATTTAACGTTTACTTCATTGGGGGAAAAAAACAATACCATGCATTAACAACAATAAATCCAATTAGCATAACAATTGATATGAGGAAATAAGTGAACAATATTATAATATCACATTCCCTATCAATTATTAGCAGAAGGCAATATATAAGAGAAAATTCCATCTGCATTCAAGTTTGTGTGCGTGCGTGCGTGCGTATTGGATAGAGATTCTCTAAATTTCGTAGGAAATTTACCCAGTAAATTTTCTGAATCTTCACCGTTCATCAACAAACTTTCATCCACAGTCAATGTTATTCCACATAAGCATACAAGGTTTGACAAAAACTCGCCATTTATTCATCTTTGATTTTGTTTACCGTGTCGCTGCTATCATCAAATACCTTTTTTATATTCATGTTTATTCTTTGCTTAGCTCACATTCAACGGTTATTTGCGTGCATCCTCAAAAAGAGGATTTTGCTTCCATTGCCACCATAAAAAACAAATGACGTGGAGAGGATCTCGAAGAGCATAAAAATAAAAATCCAAAGAGAGGACTGCACAAGGAAAAAAAAACCATCAAAGCCCTGGAACTCAAAAGTTCAATTGGTTTCAATGGATCATGAAAGAAACAGAGAGTGAGGCAAAGCCTGCAGATCATGAATGATGGTAAGAGTTCAGAGTGATAAAGGAGAAGCTTTTTAAAAGCTAGCACGGAAGATAATTGGATAATAAAAATGGCAAAACTGAACAATGCGGTGGAATATATATTAACGTATACTGAGTTGGTTTCTATCTTACAACCAGTAGCTTTTCCTCACTGCCTTTGCCTGCAGAAAAAATGAGCAAGACAGTCTCAGAAGAAAAGGTCCTTTAATGGACCTTGACAAAAACAGAAAACAGGGCATTGACCAAGTTTTGAGAGAAGGAAAGAGGAGTTTGCCCATTTCTTTTTCCTTATATGTTTCATATGCAAACAGAAGTAAGAAGACCCTTTTGAATTTCTGTCATACTTTTTCACATATGAAGTACCTCTTTTCACATCCAGCTGGATTTACTGTGTTCAATATGGGGAGCTTGTAAACGAGGATATAAAGTTATAAACAAATGAACATCAAATGTGAATGAAGTGAAGACCATACATAATATTTGATAAGAGCACTCCGTCACTGCAGCAACTGTGTAAAGAAGTAAAACTGAAGATAAATAAAACTGAGACTTTGGCCAACCTGATATGAAGACACATCGCAACATTCACTCGGAAAAAAATTGTTGAATTGAAGGGTGGAGACTTATTGAACTTTACTGGGTTTCAAATGAAATTTAGAGAATTCCAGTCCACGTTAACTTATAAACACCTATATTTCGGAAGGAGGTGGCAATCTTCCCAGGTTCACAGCAAATAAAGATAAAAAGTAACATAACAGCAATGAGGCAGCACAAAAAATGAATTCAATTGCAGCTAACCTATTTTTCCAAGGAAACTGTTTCCTTTGGGCAAAATACACAACCAAGTTAAGAATTTAACTTACTGTAAAGAGTATTCAGTAATATTGAATCATATTTCAAATTTGTTTATATCTTTCACCCTACCTATTGCTTTAGGATTTCCTGTTCACTCATGCATGTTTCATATCATTTCACATGGACACATTCATCTTTATGTCTGACAGTGACAGCCCAATATAACATATATAAGAGAGAAGAGTTATGAACTTACGATCTCAATGACTTTAAAGCTGTATCATTAGATTCCAGAGAAAACTAAAACCATTAGGCACATAGGCAAAAGATGGATTCTAACGTCAGAATAATCAAATTCCAATTGGTCCAACATGACTATACAGACAACAAAAAATAATTCCAAGCAATTTCACACGACGTCCCTATGAATCAGCAATTACTGAATGGCATTAGTAAAATTATAATGACAGAGAAATAAACCTTTGCAGAGTATTATATTCGTTAAAATTTAGCAGATAACTCTAGTCATAAGCTTAAGATAACTAAGTTGAAATCAATGAACTTCTCAATTCCAATCCGCATGAACCATTAATCAAAATCCCAATGATATGAGGCGCATAATCACTTGATGAAAACAACACGTAAACTCGTCAGTATTGATTTAAAATTCAAACCAGTCCAATTCCAGCATTTCAAGTTATAAGTGCTTTGATCAATGACAACAGAATCAAGGGTAGTTTCGCTATCTATTGATAACAGTAACAACGATCATAGCTTGATAACTGATCAGGATTTCCGGCAGATCAATTATCGTTCACCAACCTTCGACAGTTCGGCTTCAATGTTCAACAGGTAAATCTGTTCCTAGTGAGCCTTTCTCCTCTGGGGTTGTCTCTCAGTTGCTAATCTGTAAATCCAGTATACCTGAAATCATGAGAGTAAATAGAAAACTTCATCAATTTCTGGCAATACAAGAAAATAAAAGAAAACACAAGAGATAGCATTAAATAACATCAAAAGAAAAGGATCCACTAGTGAAAGAGTACCAAAGCGAGGACATGAGCTGCTATTAAGACAACCACCACAAAAGGTACTTGGTCAAGGAACCAAGGTCGAAATAACTGCTGCTCGTTCGCCATTATTGAAGAAAGTTTTAGGCGTCAGAAACAGAAATAGGACGCAAGAAGAAGCTCTATCAGGGTAAAACCACGGTTTCGTATATCACTTCCAACACTGATTTCAATTTCTATTCTTCTCGGAACCACCGAACTCAAGACCCCAGGACCTCAACTTAACCCAGCCAAGTAAAAGTGCGAACATTTAGCCGAGGGTTCAGTTTTCTCTGTAAGTTACGTGTTAAATACGCAGCAAAGGATAACGTATTTTGTTGTTAGCCCAGAGAGAACATGGCACTTGCGATTGTGTCGTGTTTCTGTAATTCTGTTGATATAAAATTGCAATCTTTTATAAATGAGGATATTCCCCCAACGGCCGTAAAAAAATAGATTTTTTAAAAATTATAAATAAAATTTTAAATATTTTAAAATTTAAAATATGACACATTTATAAAATTAATTAGAGATAGTTTTTCTTTTTTACCCATAAAATAAACATAAAACATACAACAATAACGTCCGCATGAAATAAGTTAGGAATATATTTTGTATAACTAAATAATTTAACATTTAGCCAAATTGTTTAACCTTTGGCTGATTGAATTGATTGACCATCTTTTCTCTCCCCCTTTCACAATCATTTCCCTTCATTTCTTGCGCCACAAGGATCATTGTCAAATATTTATCAACATCATTATCCAATACTTGCAAGATTGATCAACATATTTTGATTTTTGGAAGTCGAACAGTAGATTGAGATTTATTATCTATCACTCACCATCTTCATATCTCTCAGTAATATCTTCATTGAATGGTTGTTCATGTGTTTATGATTTATGATTTATTATTATTGATTATGAAACTTTGTTTAAATCGTTGCTAGAAAACACGTTATATAAAATTGAAATATGATGCCTCTATTGTATGTTATAAATTATAATATATGCATATGATTCATTGAATAGTAAAATTTATATGAAAATTCTTAAAAGATAAAAAATGCCAGAAGTGTGGCCAAGGTATGTTAAATGGATTAAAATAGTCCATGTGTATATAATTAATTCAATGCATATGCATTAAAATAATATATAATTTTACATTTTACTCAACTTGTAAATTAATTATTGAATGTCTCAATGACTTCAAAATCATTATATTTTATGAAAATATTTTTATAAAATATATTGAATTTAATGGTCTATATGTACCATATATTTATTCTATGATAATATTTATATACTTTGGTAATGTTGCATTTGTTATGATCTTGGAAGCAAAATTAAGTTCTTGTGTAAAAACCAATATCAAATTGTAAGGTCTTTCTTACTAAACCACGTATAACTTTAAATCATGATAATTTAGATTTTAACCCTCAAATGACCACTAAAATGTAAAATTTCATAAAAAGAGGATTTCTCAAATTCTTTTTTGAAAAGAATCTCAATTTTAACAATTCACATCTCAAATTAGTAAGTTCATATTAGAGTTTTAAAAATAATATGAAAGTTTGAAAATCAATTGGGACTTATAACAATGAGTTTTAAAACTCAAAAACCAATTTCGTGTAGAAAATGACACGTGCGCCGCGGCTTACAGCATATACGCCGTGGCTTATCTTCTTTGTGTCATGTGCTACGACGCATTGTAAAAATTTGATAGCACAAGGAACGAACTTTCAATGCATCCCAAATCTCCGTCTGACATCTGATTGAGGTGGTTTTGGTATCTACACAAAGTTTTCTTCTAGCTCTAGTTAATGGCACTAGTTTTACACTCAAATTCATTTTTCATAAGAAGTTGAACACCAAAACTCATTTTAACAACTTTTTTATAAAATTTCACAAATTAGTGTCCCAACTCAATCATCCATGCCAATAGCTCACACCAACCATCCAACCACACTCAATGAATTCTCGCGAACCCATGCAACGCACCATACACAAGCAAAAATACTCATATCATAAAATCACCACTCAACCTCAATTTTCACAAAACATTTAGGGGGAGGGAATGTTGCACAAAATCATCAATTTCATTCTAAATGTTTCAAAATAGATATGTTTTTACTTACATAAGTATTTTGGCTCTATCAATAGGTTTACAACAAACTCACAAAATCAGTGGCTATCACATGGCTACGTCCTTCATGGATTAATCCAACCTTCCACTTGTGAGGAGCTACTGGGTTAGGGTGAACTCACTCACTTTTGTAATTTGATTTCCCCTAATACTAACAACCATGAGGTGTCGTACCCTTAATTTAGCCTCCTCATAAATCGGTAGAGATTAGTTAAATTTAAGTCCCTTGTAGAACAAGTGAGACAGTCTTGAATTAACCATGGGACAAGAGCTACCTCCTGATTCTAACAATTGGTGCCAAGGCTAGTTTCTGATTCCAATGTTCACTGCCAATACCACGTGAATTTTAACCAATTTACTCCTCTTCCTAGGCGAACTCCCGTCAATGATCATGCTATGTACATTTCTCACATAATATGCATTTTAAATAATAAATTTATGGCAAATAATCTCACATACTTATATTCAATCACTCCACACATTCAACATATCACATATCATTACTTTTGCAACAACATGCCACAAGTAAATTTATAAATCACAGGTAGGTGGCATAATGTTCCTTTCCAAAATCATTTCACAATCAAAACTCCTTGCCTATATGCATTGTTAATTTAAATCATCAAATACATTTCACAAACACAATTAATATTCAACTATAAAAGTTAAGTTTTCCTCGATTACTTCAAACTTTTGAGAGATCAAAATTTTATCCCTTACTATACCAACTTCTCAAAGCTTCAACTAGCTTGAATGGTGACAAAATGAACCACACTACAATCATACCACAAGAATATCAACATTGTCTCAATCTTAAAAATTTATCAACATATAACCCCACACACTCTATTATATCAACCCATAGTCACTATCCATTCATACCCAATTGGCTCATCAGCAGTGGTGAAGTCACATGTACTTGAAGGGGGCATATGCCCCCCTCAACTTGAAAGAAATTACAAATGAATAGTAGATATTTTACTATTTTACCTTCTCTGGCCATAAAATTTTGAACCCTTTAAAAACTAGGTCCTTTTTTAGTGAATATTTTAACTTAAGTTCAATTATAAATTCACTAAGTTCAAAACTCCAACATGATTTTTAGAAAAGAATATATTTATTTATTTAATTTTTTTTAAATCTCTGATTAATTATTACATTTTTTATATATAAATAAGATCATAAATTAGTGACTTATATGGAAGGGAATATTTTTAATAGCATTTGATAATAAGTAGGGGACAATTATAAAATATATGATTATTTTTGAAAAAATGTTAAATAATTCTTTTTGAATTATTATTTTTAAAATTAATTTGCACCCCCTGACATGGGGTCCTGGCTTCGCCACTGCTTATTAGGTTTCATTAATGTACATTATCATTAACAACACCTCAAACCATTATTAATGCACATAACCTCTCCCAACTATCATATTTATGTCAATTTTTGAATATTAAATGCTCCAATAGACCAACCACCTTCAAAATCATCAATGTGATGTTTCAATGTCTTAAACAACTCCCATTATATTCATTTTAACCAATGAAATTAGATCCATGATCCTATGAACCTAAAATCCATCTTTCAACTTAAACCCTACTATAAATCATCATAAATAAGGGAAAAAAAGAAAAAATAAGGTGTCATAAATTTACCTCGAGTGTTTAGAAGCTTTCAAAACATCAACAATGAAAGCCAATGCCATGCCCTAACAGAGCCTAAATCGAGCTCTTCATTTTCCTCTCCTCCTCTTCTTTCATTTTTTCCCATGCAGAATGTATTTGATTTATTAGATTTTTGCCCGTGTGCCACAACACATGCTGCCCTCCATCATAGTGCATGACACAGAGGAGCTCGTTGCATTCAAATTCATCTCTATACACCTCAACGGACTGACCACGTGTTGCAACATGTGGCACAAAAGATAATTCTTCACTTTTTCTTCATCTTTTCTTGCTCAGGTAGCCTGCCATCGATCCGGACTCACTTTTAAAGCTGAAATCACAACAATTATGCCAAGTTAAGCTCCTCTGGCCAGACATCTCATTAACTCACTAATCACTCTCATTAGGTTAGTAAATCAATAAAATTTTCTTGGATGTTACATCTTGCAAGTACACTACTGGATATTGTTATAAAAGTTTGGTTGGTATGATTCTATAAAGCTATTATTTGAGATCATTTTGTTCAGTAAACAAATTGAACATGTAAAAACAAGATATACTATGATGAATTTTAAAATAATTTTTCTCTTATGATCTCTACAATACATCAGATAAACAGAGTATATATTGATAATTCAACATATTTAGAAGATGTGTTAGAAGGATATGCATATGATGAAAACGCATCATGCGTAATTTGGCTAAAAAGAAGATTTGTATGGAAGAGTATTGGCAACAATCACATTTGAAAAATTAATATTCTTTATTGAGATACAATAACAAGAAATAATGTGATTATTAGGGAGGTTAAATTGATATTGCCATCAGCGGAGTAAAGTTCACACTACTTTTTTTTCTTAATTAAGGTTTTGTCCTATAAGATTTTCCTGATAAGATTTTTAATAAGACAGCTTTAATATATATTGTGCATTTTTTTTTTCCTTTGTTAGGATTTTGCCCTATTGAGTTTTTCCAAATAAAGTTTCAATTATGCACAATATTTGTTTATAAACATCTAAGAGAGAGTGTTAAAAATATTATATTGTGAGGGTGTTCATATCCCACATTTTATAACCTCTCCATTAAATGATTTTAGGAGTTTTTCTCATGTTTACCACTCACATACTTAAAAGGTTACATATTGTATATTAATGTGAATATTCAATTAATTATAACTCTTGAGTGAGGTTTGAATTTATAAATAAAAGCTATGTACTACATATTAGGGATACTTATGAAAAATAAATATTATTATTCCTTTCTTTCCTCTTAAATCTCTTATATATATGTATGTATGTATATTTTTTTTAAGTTTCAAAACAACTGGCACTATTTGACAAATCATGTGAACCAAAACCAGAGCTGAAATCACACAAGCCCCAACCATCAGTCATTCGCTTAGGGCGGTTCAGGGACGTCATCGCTGCCAAGGGCCTACTGAACACTGGACGTGTCAGTTTGATGAGCGTTCAAGTCGTAGCTTCGCAAGCATGAACCTCTCTCGCTCTCTCTTCAAGCCGCACGCACGCATATCGCTGCTTGCGCCACATCAATGTCAGACCGCCCGGGGTTCATACAAGTGCTGGCTTACTGGTTTGTGCTACGCATTGTTTCAAACAGTTCATGTTCAGATTTCTTCCACGCGTTACTCTTGCGAAATCTGCTCTAACTGAACTCCCGTCGAAGATTTTATGTCAATGAGGAATGCCTTCGCCTTTGCGACTATCTACCGTCATCGTGGCGCCTTGGTCTTTTCCAGAAGTATATACCGCTAAACGCTTGCCTCACAAAACTGTAGTTTCGTCTAATGTTCCCCGTTCCGTGCAAGTTTAGTGTAAAAGCTAATCGGCTGATCACGGTTTTAATGTTTGCCTTGCATTGTTATGTGTTAACGTGGCTGATTCTCAGGCTAGTTTGATTTGCTAACGTTGTTTATTATGTACTTTCCATTGATCACTAAATTTTACAAACTAGACTTTGCTTGGTTGATTTTTCTGCAATTGGAATGTTCTGTCGTTGCCGTTGGCTCTAGTTTATGTTAATTTTATGTTTAAGCGATTCTAAGAGGTGTTTCAATGGACATATTTATCATTGATCACTAAATTGGAATGCTTTGCCGACTGATAGGGGAAAGATGTTGCTTTGGTAGTTCGATGAATTTGCTGGAATTGGATTGTGTATAATAGCTGAGTTTTTCAGCTTCTGGAGGAATGCGTTGTTCTGACCTTGGTTAGCTGTTTTTTCTCTACCTAAACTGTTTGTTAGCCCGCTTGTCTCATTATGAGAGTACCTATCCTGCAGAGTTGCAGCATGAGAGTGCGACTGAAGTCATCTTGCGCCAATGCATGCCACTGAGATATCTGAAAGACATTGAGGTTGCCGGGAGATCAGATGTTGGCTGGTTGCCATCTTGCTTGTTGCATCAAAATTTGTGAGTGGATTGCCACCTTGTATCAGATTAGTGAAAAATTCTTTTGTCCCTCTTATGGTTTCAATTTTCTGTTTTTTAGAGTCTTCTTTCATGGTTGTTGCACCTGAGCTTGGGGATATTGGTGCAGGTATTCAACTGGCTTCACCAGTGTGCATGGCGACAAGCCATCTGCTGAGTATGCAAAGCTCAGGAGAGAATCCCTAGAAAGTGAATTTGGGCTTGCTCTTGGAACTTATGGCTCCAAAACTTTCTCCACTGTCTATCGATTTGGCCCTTTTTTGGCTTTGTACAGGGCAGCAATTATTTCATTTCATGTGTTCAGGCTGGCATTTTGGCAGCTCTTTGTTCAAGACATAGAAAAGCGTGCAATCAAGGTAATTCATTTTCTACATCAAAACTTTGCATTGCATTTGTGCATTGGCAATTTTAGAACACACGGCTTCTGAGATACAGTTCAAAAAGTAAAATCCTTCAACCTTTGAAATAACCCTCCCATGAAAACCATAAGTTTTCATCGACTCTTTTTGTTCTAGGGAGGTGTGTGTAGGTTTTGAAATTAAAGCAAGTCCAAAAATGGTTGAACAGCTCTACTCTTTTTTAATCCTAGTTATGTTTGATTAGGTTTTATGTCTTTGTTTTTAGTACATATCTTATCACATATGATTAGACAACATAAATGTAATAATATGATGGACATTTTATTTGTGTCTGTGGATTACTGAGTCTGTCTCAAAAACGAAAAATATTTTTCTATAAAATGAAGGCATTGACATTTGGTTCTGGGATAATTGGCATGCTTCTGGTGTATATAGGCTTGCACACTTGCCCTTATTTTGGGGTATGCTTTCCTATATAATCTCTTCTGTTAGACAGTTCTGTCATTTCGTATTTGAGGAATTTTTTCAAACTGGCTAACCTTTTCACTCTTTTAATACTCTTGGGATATTTTTAAGTCCAGGACTATAAATTTGATTGGTTCTGAATTGTTTTAAACACAAAAACATTACTATGTAGGAGTATTTATACAATAATCCCGTATTTTTATCGGCAATGTAAACTACTGAAAACCCTATGAGACATATGTGATATTGTGCTGTCTACTATAATTATGCATCTTAGCATCACATTCTCATGTGTTATCAAACCACTGATATATTTACTTATACTTTGGTTTTTGGGATATGGCAAAAGATCATTTCCCTTTACTTAGATTTTCAGTTGTATTTCGTCAACCTTTTTCCCCCAGCAACAGTGTGTGGACTTATTCATTTATAGCTGTTAGGGGGGAGAAGTGACTGTCTAGGATGGACAATGATTTATGTACAATTTTTTGCAGTTTCGCAAAACTCTAATACGCTTGGGTCCCTTCTACATTAAGGTAAGTTTCTTTCACATGTTATTTCCTTTTGTTGTAAACATGAGATTAATTGTAAACTTGAGTTATGGAGGAGGACATTAGAGTTGAAAGGTTTTCATCTAAGTAGGAGTAAGAGAGAATATTTATATTATAAATTTAGTAAGAAACTAGTCGACAGTAGTTTGGAGGTGAAATTGGGAGATCAAATTATACCTTAAGTGGAAACATTTAGATATTTGGGAGCGATTATTCAAAATGATGGTGAAATCAGTGGGGATATTTCACATAGGATTCAAGTTGGATGGTTTAATTGGAGAAAAGCTAAAGGAGTTATTTACGACCGTAAGGTGCCTAATAAACTTAAAGAAAAGTTTCATCATACTACTATTAGACTGGCTATGTTATATAGTAGTGAATGTTGGGCTCTAACGGGATAGCAAGAGTATAAAATTGGAGTAGCAGAGATGAGAATGTTACGATAGATGTGTGGATATGCATGTAAAGATAAAATTCGAAATAAGCATGTGCGCGAAAAAGTGAGGGTCGCACCTATTGAGGAAAAAATGATAGAAAATCATTTGAGATGGTTTAGGCATGTACAAAGAAGACCGCGGGAGGCACTAGTGAGAAGAGTGAAACATATAACTTTGAGCCCTGTTAAGAGGGGTAGAGGAGGGTCTAAGAGAACACTTTTGGAAGTTGTTGAACGTGATCTCTTAATTAATAATATTTTTAAAAACTTGTCAAATGATAGAGCACAATGGTGTCTTGCAATCCATGTAGCCGACCCCACCTAGTGGGATAAAGGCTTGTTGTTATTGTTGTTGTTATTTTCTTTCATCATACGTGTTTTCCTCCTTCATTGTATTGTTTTTCAAAAGCGGGGAAAATACTTAAATTTGCTAAGGCTACCAGTTTCTCACACATTGTGCATGCGTGAGCAGATTAATGGAGAAAATAGTAAAAGGCACTGTTAATGGACTCGATATATCTGTTGTTTGGATTCATGCTCATTTTGCAGTCTACGACCAGAAAAAAGTAATAATTGAATGAGGAAAAAAAATATTAAACAAGCAAAATTTGTATGCTCTCTTTAATAAGCATGTAATCATTCTTACTAAAACACTATTCATGCTAGGAACATGCTCAATAGGCCAGTACTGATAGGTTTGCTTCTTTGCTTCTATTTGAAACAAGTGATATGCATTTGAATCTCGTGAGGCATATAGCCGATGAAGTTGTGAAAGCATAGTTCGAAGAAGTATTGCATTTCAATTGCATTGCAATTTCTTTTCTCCAAAGTAACTATCTGTGGCAATCTTCTATCCAATTCATGGCTGCTTTCAGTCATGCCACTCACTACTTCTCTTGATCTCAACTGGATGAATATTTGTCTTCTATGATTCTCATGCTGCACAGCAGAAGGCTTAGAATTTCCTAAAAGTAAGGTTTTTCTCAGAGGGTTCAAGGATAAAATATTTGTGGAGGCCAAGGATTGAAAGGTAATTATGTATGCGAGGACAAGTTTGTTTTGCAAACAATGAGAGTCAGTAGCTTTTTGTACCATGAACAATGCTTCAAAATGCAATTCGTAGATCTAAGATTTGATGGCTTCTGGAGTTAAGGCAGGGAAAAAAAAATCAACTATAATAAGAAAATTTTCTCTCTTTTTTTTTCATCTTTTCTTCTTCATCTATTGAGACCATACTAAATGAAACCAGGGTAAACGATTCTGTTATTTGAGATTTCAGTATCCTCTAAGGACAGTCCTTTATTGTGAATCCTCTTATTATTACAGCTTGGCCAGGCTTTGAGCACTAGGCCTGACATACTACCAACTGTATACTGCCAAGAACTTGCTAAGCTTCAGGTACAAGGGCCTCTTTGTTTACACTCAAAAGAATGTAATTGATTGTTGCACATCCTTTTTTTTCATGCTACTGTATTCTGTCAACTTGTCTGGCACTGATGAAGCCTTATTAATTTTTCTTTCATGTTAGGATCAAATACCCCCATTTTCGACTAATGTTGCCATCAGATCTATCGAAACCCAGCTAGGTGCCCCTGTTTCTGAGATATTTAGTGACATTAGCCCAGAGCCTATTGCTGCAGCATCCTTAGGTCAAGTTTATAAAGGTTAGCTTTATTGTGAAATGACTTGGGATATTGTTCTGATAATATTTCCTTTGCTCAATATTATGTTTCAGAATCTAGAGAAGGATTTACATGCTTGAGGAAAATTAAGTGTTCACTGTTGTTGTTTTTAAGTGTTTCAGCTCACCTGCATTCTGGAGAGCTGGTAGCTGTAAAAGTACAGAGGCCTGGCATGTCACTTTCATTAACCCTCGATGCCTTGTTGTTCCATATGATTGGTGGCCAATTAAAGCGATTTGCCAAAGCTCGTAGAGATCTTATTGTAGCAGTGAATGAGATAGTGAGCACCTTTACTCCAGAGTGCACAGACATTTTGGTTGCTTTATGTATGACTTGTTTCCACCTATCAAAACCAACATTAAAGTTCCACTTCTAGATATAACTTATTACTTGCAACTCTTATCTAGACCCTCATTTGTTTGCTTAAATTGAATTTGTTTTATACATCAATCACTGAAAACCATTGCAACAGGTCAGGCACATGTTTGATGAAATTGATTATGTCCACGAAGGAAAAAATGCTGAGCGTTTCGCTTCTCTGTACAGCCTCCAAGCGAGTAAGTTAATACTTGGGTTCTTAAAGTGCTGATCACTACTTTCTATGATGATCACATTAGTGTTGCATTATTCAACCAGATGTTTGAGTCTAAAATTCAAATTTTACATAGTACTGAATGTTATGTGTTAGTTGTTGCTCAATTTTGGACGCCTTTTTCCCACAGAAAAGCACTTATGAGCAATATACACGTGAAGATATTTGCTTATATAGTGGGCTCATAATAATTTTGAATTTCAAGTATGTTCCTTAAATATTATAGGGCGGTCTGTGTAAATTAATCTATGAACTAAGCTTTTATTTTGGTCAAATGATTAATTATGATTAAGTTTAATGCAGGTTCTTTATGGCTTTATTTGATATTTAGCATGGGATTTAGATTGGTGATTCTTTTCAGCAGGTGGTAATGAACATGGTTACGGAGCTGGAGGAATAAATAAAAGTAGTCTCAAAGGAATGAAACGCATCAAAGTTCCAAAAATATATTGGGACTATACACGTACTACTGTGCTGACTATGGAATGGGTTGATGGAATTAAGCTTACTGATGAAACACGCCTGAAGAATGCTTCTTTGAACAAAAGAGAACTCATTGACCAGGTATAAAGGACAAAATTGATCTTGGTCACATGCTTTGTCTGTTTACATATATCTATTACATGCCGTTTCATTATGTAAACACACGTGGTGTTGAACTTGTATGCTTTCATGTGTTGAGTAAGCATCGAATGCACTATTAGTTTATTTGCTTCAACCTTCTGCATATGGTTCCTTGATAACTCAACTATAGATTGCCAATCAATATGCCTTCACGGGGTTTTGTAGGGATTATACTGCTCTTTGATGCAACTGCTTGAGGTTGGATATTTCCATGCTGATCCACATCCAGGAAACTTAGTGGCAATGGATGGTGGATCACTGGCATATTTTGACTTTGGAATGATGGGGGATATTCCTAGGCATTACCGGATTGGACTTATTCAAATGGTGAGAAGTATTTGAATAATGGTTAATTGATAGATGATATTTAATTTGTGAAGAACTTAAATTGATTGGTCCTTAATAAATTTTACTTCTTTCTTGCCAATGAATATGGTTGAAGAAGTTCAATTGCATTCATATTAGACATGTTCAATTGACACAGCTATCTATTCTCTCTCTGTGAGATGTGTTAAATTATTTTCTTCTGGAGTTTTAGCCTTTTGTTTTAACATGGATGGTGTCTGAAATTTCATCTATGTCTTGATGTATGCGATGGTGCTAAAGAAGACTCAGAAGAATGAGTTAGATGTTGACTGTTTTATGAGTTCTCATTTGTAATTGAAAAACTACTTGTGTAGCATCACTTTTTCATGGAAGATATTGGTCTCTTATTTTTGAGTCGTACTTGCTGAATTTAGCTTTTGATTCTTTATTTTACAAATTATAAGGAGTCATGTTGCGCATTTACTGGAAATTTTCTTAGTATGGTCACATAAGTTCTACTTTCTGCAATTTGATTTTTTTCTCAATAGAATTTGGGCATCTAATAAATCAGATTCTCTTGGATGGAATCTTCTGCTGTAGGCATTTTCTTCATCGTTTGTTTTTTTTTTTTCCCAATCTTTGCTTTCCCCTGTCATTTGTTCTGTATGCATTTTCTTTATCATTATTTTTTTTTTTCAGTTTCTCATCTTTATTTTTCTTTCTATTACAAGAAAAGAGAATTTTTAGGCAATTTCCTGCATTAATAAGCTTTTCTTTCTTTCAGCTTGTGCACTTTGTTAATCGTGATTCTCTGGGTTTGGCAAATGACTTTCTTTCTTTGGGATTTATTCCTGAAGGAGTTGACATATACGCAGTTTCTGATGCCTTGAAAGCATCCTTTGCTGACCAAACCAGTCAATCAAGAGATTTCCAGGTTCTTCCCTGTGCTTTTCTCCCTCCTCCTCTTTCTTCTGGGGCTTGTGTTGATTTCCTTAAAATGCAAAATTGTACTATCACGTTTGCCTTGTCGTTCCTTCTCTTTTAATCTTATTGCTTACAAGATATAATAATGTACCTATCACCAATTTGTTATTTGGCATGCAGAATTCTAACAGTGGTAAGTATCTTCAGCCTGCTGGACGCCTAGTTGTATGCTTTTGTTCTGTTTTGGTCTCCAAAGCCTCAGTTATTTCTTGAAATAAATTTTCAGATTTGTTTCTGATAATGCTTCCCCCCACACTTCTTTTTTTTTTTTTTGGTTTACTATGAAGCCCAAGTATGGGCATTGCAGAACTTGATTTCTTAATTTTCATTCTTGGATTTCAGGGAATTATGAACCAACTTTATGATGTTATGTATGAATTTAACTTCTCCCTCCCGCCAGACTATGCTCTAGTGGTAAGAGCACTGGGATCACTTGAGGGCACAGCAAAAGTTCTGGATCCTGATTTTAAAGTCATTGAGAGTGCATATCCATTTGTCATTGGGAGACTGATAGCAGACCCAAGTCCTGATATGAGAAGAATTTTGAGGCAACTTCTTATTTGTAACAATGGAGCTATTAGGTGGAATCGACTAGAGCGCTTGGTAGATCTCTCTCTCTCTCTCTCTATATATATATATATATATATCTATCTATCTATCTATCTATATATCTCTCTCTACTATGCCACCCAATGCTACTTTTGTGTGGGTGGACTGATCTATGTATATAGCCGTGTATAAATTTACAGAGCTTATGGTTGGAATATTTTTACTATGTGCTTCATCATAATTTTATCATCTCGTATTAATGACTACTCTTTTAAGTTATGCATCTGGATGAACTTTATTTTTTTCACTTTCTCTTGGAGTTAGAAGTTTGAAACCATACATGAATAGCATAACCGAATCTGTAAGGTTACTTCTGCGCTCCTCTGGTTTGCCTTGTGTATATGAATAATTGCATTTCCTAAACTGCATGGCCTAATCAGCTATCATTTAAAATTTGCTTTTCTGCAACCATTTCTCACTTACCATTCTTCCCTGCCTTACCCTATGTGAAGGAGTTTGTGGTTGAGATGTTGCATGGGTACTGGTCTGGTAGTCTATTGAGAGCTACCACAATGAGCTTGATGTTTCATTTGTTACATGCTGCCTAGTGAAAATCAAATTATAAATTTGCAAATGGATTATGTCATGCTCCCTCAAGAATGTGTAGACATGATTTATGGATGTTGAAACCACAGGCCCATGCTAGTAATGTTTTTGCTGGATTGCAAATATTGCACCCGTGTATTACTCCACTCAAGTTTAAATACTCGGATAAAATATGAGATAGTTTTCTGTGGTGTATATGTATATAATTTTATTCTTAATTTTGTATGGATTCAAATTTCAGATAGCTGCAATATCTGAGCAGGCTTCTGAGTCAACTGAAGACCCTGGTTCTGAGAAGTCTTCAAGTCCTTTGGGTTGGAAGTACTTTGACATGCATTCTGTTGTTGATGCCACTGAAGATCTTTTATTGTTCCTTCTATCAGACAAGGGTCTGAGAGTGCGTCTTTTCCTTCTTCGAGATATAATAGAAGCAGCTGATATATTCCTGCAAGATGAAGTCATCGATCACTTGTTAAAGGAGAAACCTCTGGGCCAAAGCAGATTGCTATTTGAGGTAATGTTGAAGTTATTCTCGTGGAACACATAAATGAATGCCGGTTTTTTTTATAACTAAAATGGATTTTTTATAGCTAAAATATTGCCTGATGCCCTTCTTAAATTGACGTTTATAGTGGAATTCAATATATGAAGTCTTCTGGCATAAGCTTTAAAGGTTGAGCTGTGACTCTTCTAGTTATGAAGCACATGTTAATCTATGGATATGTTAAACAATATCTTATAGAGGGGGAAAGGATGTTACAGTAGAGAAAATCTTGAAAGATGGAAGAATGTGACCATGATTGCCCTTATATTTATCTGCCTTTGTGCCTCCTCCAACTTGATCCTACACTTTCTGTCAGATCTTGTAAGTGGAGGTGCCAATATATTGAAATTTAATATTCTTGTGCACCGCAGGAGCGTGTTGTTCTCAATAGGATTGGAAAAGGCTTTCAGTACTTTAATGATGTGATTAGGTTGGCGCCAGATGAGTGGACAGCTATGCTTCTGCGGATGGCAGTGAAACCTGATGTCCACAAATTTACTATAGACATTATTTCAGCTCTAGCTTATCATTTTAACCAGAGACTGCGAGAAGCGTCTTGGCTTTATTTATCAAAACTTCTCCACAAATTGAAGTAGAGGTACATCTGTTAGCCTGTAGGAATTAAAAGTGAGCAGATGTCCTCACAGGTCTTGGTCTCAATTTTTTTCTTGTAGCTGGTTTAAAAGCTTATGAAGAAAATAAAATTTCTAGAACAATCTAAATATAGATTAATATCGATAAACAGGTCAAAAGTCGTCTTTCTTGAAAAATGTAAGAAAAAGACCTTTCGTTAGAAGTTCGAAAAAGTCTGCCACCCAGAAAAAGGAAATCAAGTGATTTCTTCTTTGTTTTCCTTTCATTTATAGATTAGTCTTGCCAATTGAGCAAAATGGATGGTGAAAGGGGTTCATTCTTTTCTGGCTATTGGATTCTTTTTCGAACATAATTTTTTCAGCAATATTTTTTTAATATTTTGATGTGTGGTTGTGTTAACATGTATTGATAGTTTATTCGGGAAAAGATGGGTTGATAGAGATGTTAAGTTAATTATTATCTAGGAATGAAAGGAATGCATATGTGGTGCCGAGTAACATTTTTTTGTTGATGAATATTTCATTAAATAACTTGAACGGGATGTTTTCCTGGAAGAGTTCTGGTTGGTGTATTTCGTGTACATTTTTATATACCTCTCATTGCTTGCCACTTGGCTGCCACTGCATTTGTTTCCGTCTTGGAAGGGCGTTAAACGCCTACCAGGGAAATTCAAGAATTTGCAAGAAGCCAATTACATATTTCTTCATTAAATTTTTTGGTAGAATATTTCTTTATTAATTTAGGTGGCAAACTGTGATATTTTGGGCCAAATTTATTCCATGGGCTTGATGCTATGGGAATTTCTTCCCCCGGCTGCCCTTGAAAGCGGCATTTTTACTTTGGGTCATGTTTGGTATGATGGAAGAGTTTTTAATAGAATCGGAATTGGAATTGGAATAGAATTAGATTTAAAAGTGTGTTTGGAATGATGATGAAATCCTGATATAATTTTAATAAAATATAAGTACTTAAAATAAGAAAAGATTAAAGTTTTCTTTTTAAAATTAAAAAAAATTATATTGGAGGAGGGAGAAGGGGTAAATTGGAGAAAGGGAATCATAGAATCGAATTTTATGATGCATGTGATGGAATTCGATTCTGTCAAATTTTCTTGAATTTAAATTTTAAAGAATCATAATTATTGCATATCAAAAATACATGTTAATAAATTTCATGTTCAATTTCACCTTTTTCTTCATAATTTTAATCTACCAAATAGGGTCATGGTTTCGTTGAGATTTGATTTATTCAGCGATAGAGGAAAGAATTTAAAGTTGTCATGCGTTGTAGCTAGTTACAATTTCGCAAACAACTCGGGTTTGGTTTGCTGAAAATATTTTAACAAAAATGAAACTAGAAAATGAATTGGAATTAAAATTGAAAAGAGATTAAAAATAAATTTTAAAAAGATGTTTGGTATGAGAGAGAAAATGAATGGAATCTTGGTGTGATTTTTGTTTGGTTCAGATGAAATTGAGCATGGAAAAGGAAGCCAAAAAAATGAAAAGACAATAATATCCTTGCCTTCATCTTCATCCCGTGGTTCTTTTCTAGTTCTCATCGACCATTTTTTTTCTTCCTCTCTGTCAACGGCCTACTTCCACAACTCTCACCTTCAACCCCCCCCCCACTCTCTTCTCCTTCCTCAAAACAAAAATGAAACCATAGCCTTATTTTAGTCGAGCAACGACACCATCAATTGATAGGGAGAACAGTGGCCGTCGTCATCCATGTTGGTGACAGGCTTCGATCCAGTGGTGGGGTTTGCTATGGAAATGGAGTTGTGCACTGCCCTTTCAAGGAACTTTGCTGGAGATGGAGTCGTGCAAAATCAAGCTCTTTTCTTTCACTGCTGAAGATGGATGGCAGAGGGTGACTTATTGGTGAAAGACAGTGGGAAGTGAATGGTCGAACATGGGGTTATGGGGCAAGGGGTAGAGGGCAGAGTGGGGATTAAAATTATTTTTTTGTGAAAATAAAATTTTCCTTTGGGTTAGTTCAAGAATTGATTTTTCAGGCAGTGTTTACAAATTCGTTTCTCAAGAATAAAAAATCATGCCAACCAAGCACGGGATTATGCATTTTTCCTTTCCTTTTCTGTTTCCTAGTGCCCGATTCTCATGATCCAAAATGAGCCCTAATCAGGGAAAACAGGAAAAAAAATGTTACAATATTAATATAATATACTGGTCATCAATAATATTGCGTTGTCGCGCGCAAGGACAGTCATGCGTTTTTTTGGCCAGGCAAGGACGGTCATGTATACTTCAAGTATGAAAGATAATTTCGTTGAGTTTAGGCAATCCACAAGCCCCACAATTTTCTGTGAGGAATATAGAAACAAGGTTGACGCTCTCCACAATTAAAAGAATTTTTCTCAACTGAAAATTTCCCATAAAAGCCAAGTGAACAGGTCAGAATTGATGCTTTCGCGTGATCTAATTTGTTCTCGCTTTTGCAAGCCCCAACATCCAACTGCGAGTTAGAGGTGGTATTATAAGTAGGTTTTTTTTTTTTTAATAATGGTATTCCTCCCTCTCAAATAATAGAGTACTTTTAGAAAAAAATTTGGCATATCAAAATATAAAATATCAATAAAAATAAAATTTTATTAATGATACTTTTTTAATATTATTCTTTTCATATATTCTCTCTCTTTAATGTTCCTTCATCAATGAAGTATTAAATAAATGACATTTTTAAAGTTTATATTTTTGTTTTAAAAAATTAAGATTATAAAGTATATTTAATAAATTTTATTGATATGTAAAATTTTATCTAAAAATATTTTATAATTTATGATGAATAAAGTATTAATTGAAGTTGGCAGCAAGCAACAGGTTACCATGTAATGAAAAACACAAGTTTCATTGGAGAGTGAATAATAATATAAATATAATAATATAATAATTAACCAAGTTCTCTGAAAATGCTATTTAGCTGTTGGGCAAATCACAAATGCATTCAAGTATGAACTGAGAATGTTATGATAAATCATTGTCGAAGACTTGCTCCGCATGCTAACACATGTTGAACATTCTAGCTGGAATTCCAAATTGAATTGCGGGGGTCTCCTGTTTCCGTAGCATTATGGATAGCCAAGAAACGGATATTTGTTCCCAGACAATTACTTCATTAACGAGGCTACTTAATTCTTAACACTTTATATGCCGGATGTATTTTTGCTTAGCTGGACTCGTAGATTCCTCTAGCGTTGGTCGGCGGATTGTTTCTTGTAACCGCAGGGCCAAAATTCGTCGTTGAAGCTTTTAGCAGTAGAAGATGTGAATCACTTGCCGAACACTATAAATCGTTTACGAACACAGGGCCACGGCGTAGATAGAGTCCAACCAACGATGACTTGTCAACCTTGAGTGATGTAAAATCCAGGGGATGTTAGTCAACATATGTCACTGTTGTTCGTCTGTTTTTTGTTTTCTTGAGAAAGGAAGAGAAAATTTCAATAACTGCTGAAGGGGCAGTTAAAATGTGAATCAATCACCAGCAGGAAAGAGGCCGGTGTCTCCTTCTGCATGTAAACGACAAGTGTCTGGACCACCGAATTAGATGATTTTTTTTAATGGTTGACACTGTTACTATTTTCGCCTTGACTCGATCCCCTCCTTAAGCCACCGTATTCTTCGGCGACGCGTATTCGAGGCACCGCTCTATTTTAAGCATATGAAGAAACGGCCGTTGAACTCAACTAAAAGAACATTGATCAATAAAGAATACGGCAAAATTAATAAGATAATAATAATCATCATCATCATCAAAGTCTTTTTTTTCTCCTTATTTTCGGATGATGCTACTGTTTATTTTTTCTAAAAAAAGATTGCATTTGTTATGTCCTAATTTCTCAACTCTATTGTTGAACAAACAATAAGCTAATTTGAACCCGATCAAAACATAACAATACTTCTGGTTTTCTTCCCCTTTCGTCTTTTTATCCTCTGTCGTCTTAAACTTTCTGGCTCTCCTTGTCATGGCATTTCGTCTCCATTTGTTTTCGTCAGGTACCTTCTGAGCCTTATAATGATTACCCTCTTTCCTTGTACAATAACTCCTTCAAATTAACGATCTTCCTATTTTAGATTTAGCATCTTTTGCTTGGTAGCTGTAATTACAAGATCAGTGCATAAACTTTGCATCGTTGTGCAATTTATCGCGTCTTGTGAAATTATTTACAATTTCTTGCTTGTGGGTTTTCTGTGAAGGTTAAACTTGACAGCTATTAATTTCTGAGTGACCCCACTCATGTCATGATAACTTGGAATCATTGGCACGCAAGAATCAGCTATACATACGCAATACAGCTTTTGTTTCTTCACTTTCTCATATTGGTCGAGGAAAGAGTATCCGGGAACCCAGAATATTCAAGCTATAATATGGGTTATCTCAATTCAGTTTTGTCCTCTTCAAGCCAGGTTCATGCTGCTGAAGATGCCCCTGTGAGCGGCGGAGGCCTCAGGTTAACTTCTTTTAGCACATCGATCCTTTTTTAGATCTAGAATACGATAAAATGGTAGCTTCATCCTTGCGTTTAATAGTCAATGTTGCAGATTGATTTCATCCACGGCTGATAGTTGTATTAAATCTTTGTCATTTTATCCGCGGCGTTATATTATTTTTATTGCGTTAATTTGCGCATTCATTACTTTATTCTGTGCGATTCATGAACGATTTTGAAAATCATGGAGCGGATATTTTGGAATCACAGTGTGTTTATCATTAATGAAATTTCTGACTAGTCCTCTATAGATCCTTTTCAACCTTTGAAGTGTTAAATACTAAGTAATAGTTCTGGATTTTTGCTTGTTCTTTTGGTATGTCTCTACCATGACTCCTTGATGATTCGTGGAGAAAAGTTGGACAAATTGCTGATACTGCTGTAAGGATTCCTCTTTGTATAATTATAGTTACTAGAACTTGTATTCCTGTTCAGTTGGGTTGGTATTTCCTTCTATTGTTCATGTACCATTTTGGGTTCATCCTTGGAATGGAATGAACGGAGAAAATACAAGTTCCATTCCTATGACAATAAGGGAACTTCTCAAGTGATTCATTTGTTCTCCTTAAGCTTCCTTGTCTGTTAGATCAATCCAGTTAGTTAATGAACCTAGAGTCACCAAACCAACAGTTGAAGGAAAAAAGTAGAGCAGAAAATGGCAGAATTAAACCTCTCCCTTGCCTCTCCCTTTTCCTGTGAGATTTTGTTGATTTATTTGCATATTTCTAAGCTAGAAGGCTTTAACACGTGTTCCTCTTGGATTTTCTGTCCTTTTGTCCGTTTCAGTTGAGCTATCATAGAAAGCAGCTAATGTCTTTTGTCCATGAAAAGCATGTGTAGGCAAGTGTTGATAAATAATGTCACCTAAGGGGGCCAAAGTGCCTCTCTCATTTATCATGACTGCTTTTTGATTGCATTCATCATGTTTTTAACTCAATATTTCTTGTATCTGGTTGATTTCCATGCATTTCTTGCTTGTTTCCTGGACATTGTTCTCCCCATCCGTGCCAAGAGCTTGAGCAAGAAAAAGGCAGCCAAACTAGAATATTGAACCATACA